ATGATGTTTGATTTGTAGTTTCCACGGTTTTGTGAAATCAGCAAAATTAGCAAATTTTATTATTGTTAAACATGAAAGGAAATATCTTATAAAAATTGAGAATTGTTTAATATTTTGTTACGAAATTATTATATTACTGGAACTTGAAATAAAGGTAACTGTCCTATTATGAATGAATTAAATGAATTAAATATGAATATATAAAATTTGGAAAAATGTATTAATTGGAATTTGTGACAATACTGCTACTGACATCTATTGGCTTGTATAAGAATTTCATTGTGTTGTACGGCTGAGACAACATGCATTAGAAGATAATATAAAATTTTACCATCATTTATTTCTATGACAGAAGATTTATAACCTCAAATGTGCACAATTACGTATGTTGTGATTTACACTTCAGAGGTTCCGGCTTCAAAAGTTTCAAATTGTTTTCCTAGCACTTCGGAAGTTCCAGCTGACGTTCCTAGCACGTCAAAAATTCCAGCTGTTTTACCTAGCACTTCTAAGTCCTCAGATGCGATTTCTGACGATGCTACATCAATAATTTCTCCAAAGCAAAATCAAATATTCCTCAAAAATCACGTTACTCCAAAATCAATTCCTTCAAAACCAACAATCAATAGAAAGAAAGCATTAGACGAGCAAATTCGTTGGAGAAAAGGGTCTTTGATAATTTTAGACGATCATAAAAAATGTAAAGGAAATTCAAGTATTCCGAATGAATTGTTACAGTATCCATATAATTTTTTCAAATACTTTTTTGATGATGATTTAATGAACCTAATAGTACAACAGTCTATATTATATTCAGTACAAAAAGACCCTAATAAACCATTAACACTTTCCCTAAATTCGCTTCAAAAATACATAGGAATTCTTATATTTTCATCTGTGGCACGTGTTTCGTGCATTAGAGATCTCTGGCAGCCGATCTTGGGTAACGATATGGTGAAAGCAACTATGGGAATCAACAAGTTTGGAGTCATTCGTTCTGCTCTTCATTTCAACGATAACACTAACAATTTACAAGCTAATGATCCTGCTAAAGATAAACTGTTCAAATTGCGTTTTTCCCGTTTGAATCGGACTAGTAATAACGGAAATTGAAGCGTAGGCCCTTCTGGCTTTCGTTCTGCGCAGGATTTTTGTTTTCAACGTTCATCTATACCGCGTTCTCTACATATTTCCGTTTCTCCCGTTTGAATCGGATCAGTAATATCCGAGAAACACGCTAAGGCCCTTCTGGCTTTTCGTTCTGCGCATGTTTTTTCGTTCGACGTTAATCTATACCGCGTTCTCTACATAATGCCGTTTTTTCCGTTTGAATCGAACCAATAGCAATAAAGATACACGCTAAGACCCTTCTGGCAATCGCATGATTTTTCTGTTCAACGTTAAAAGAGATTTAATTCCCTCCATCCCCCCCCACTTCCCCTCACTCTTACCTACTGAATTTGTACCTCTCACTCTTACACATTGAATTCCCTATGTGTCATCATGTCAGCTTTGTCTATCTACTCCTATCATAGACCATGTGAATAAAAAAATTTCTAGTGTACCCATGGGTGAGAGTCTTTCAGTTGATGAACAAATTTGTGCAACTAAAATAAAACATTCGTTACGACAATACAGTCCACGAAAACCCAAAAAATGGGGCTACAAATTATTTGTTTTATGTGATAAGGTTCTGCTTACAAGTTTGAAATCTACTCAGGACAAGAAAACGTAATTATTGATGGTGAGACAGATATAGCAGCATACCTTAATATTGTTATTCGTTTGATTAGATCTATCCCAAAAAATTGTCGCTATACCGTATATTTTGACAATTATTATACCTCCCTACCCCTCATGGCTGAGCTAAGGAAGAAGGATATTTTTGCATTGGGGACAATACGAAAAGATCGCATCCCAAACAACCCTGTTACTGTTGACAAAAGTATGAAAAAAAGTGAAAGGGGAACTGTAGAAGAATTTGTAACAGAATATGATGGTTAGCCAATTTCTCTTGTTCATTGGAATGATAACAGTCTTGTGTGTTTGGCATCCAATTTATGTGGTGTGGAAATCATTGACACAATACGCAGATATGTCCGAAATGAAAAACAATATATGAACATTCCCTGTCTAAAAATTATTAAAATCTACAGCAAACACATGGCTGGTGTAGATTTGATGGATGGTCACATTGGGCGACACAAAATAACTGAAAAGTAAAAAATGGTATTTTCGCTTATATCACCATTTGCTTGATTTGTTTGTCAATGCTTGAGTTCTTTTTAACAGAATAAATAGCATAAATGGCAAAACAACAATGTCTCGCAAACAATTTCGAATAGATTTAGCATATTCCCTGTGTAAAATTGGAAGGACTGACACTCCCAGACGTAGTCAACCTACCAGCGCTCAAATTAGAAGAAGATTTGCTGCCCCAAGACCAACAACAGTTGTTCGGACTGATGGATTTGAGCATTAACCACAATTTGAAGAAAAAAGATGCAAATATGGTAGCTGTAAAGCATTGACCAATGTCATCTGCAGGAAATGTAGACTGAATTTTTGTATAATCGTGAAAACCAAGAGATTATTTCGCAGTGTTATTTGAAACATAAATAACTTTGAATAGTACCTTGTTGTGTTTTTAGTCCCATATTTATTTTCCCTCGAAGCAGGGTCAGATCAGCTACCCTGAATTTTTAAAAATTTTTTTGCGGTTTTCTAAAATTAATGCTGTTAAGGGTTAAAAGCGCGTTATCATTAAATCAAATATTTTAATGAATGGTCGTTTTTAACGAATCACATTGCCAAATCGTTCATCGTTTTTAGCAAAAAATCATCGTTTTTAAAGTATCAAATACCAATTTTTTTAACGCATAAAAATGCATAATCGTTGTTTCTTACCGCACAAAAATGCCAAACTATCGTTTTTTACGAATTAAATTATCAAAAAACGTCATTTTAAACTAATCGAAATGTCAATAAGGCATAAAAATACCAAAGCCTCGTTTTTAACGCATTAATATTGCTAGATTGTCGTTTTTAACGTATTACATTTGCCAGTTCGTCGTTTTTAAAGCTCCAAAATGTTTTAAAACAACAAAATGCAAAATAGTCTTTTTTAACGTACTAAAGTTCTATTTTTTTTTTTATTATCAAAATGCTTAATTGTCATTTTTTAACACAAATAGTAAAATCGTCGTTTTAAACGCATAAAAACGTCAAATCGTCGTTTTAAATATTAAAATTGTCAGATTGTCATTTTTAACACATTAAATTCGTCATACCGTCGTTTTTAAAGCACAAAAATGTTCAAATCCTGGTTTTAAAGCAGCAGCATCAAAAATAGTCTTTTTAAATGCACTAAAATGCCGAATCGTCGTATTGTTTTGTATAAAAATTTTCAGGCTTCCGTTTTTAACACATCAAAATGCAAAATCATCGTTTTTACGTATCATCCCAAATCGTTGTTTTTAAAGCATCAACGCCAAATCCTATTTTTTAAAGATTGAAAATGACTTCGTCGTTTTTACGCACAAAATACCAAACCGTCGTTTTTAACGAGTGCTAAATCGTCGTTTTTGAGGAATCAAATTGCTAAATAGAAATTTTTAATGATAAAATGGCCAAAGCATCGTTTTCAACGTATTAAAATAGTCAGATCGATGTTTTTAAAATATTAAATTTGTCAAATTGTCATTTTTAATGCACCAAAATGCTAAATCCTCATTTTAAAGCAACCGTATGCAAAATAACTCACCAAAATATTATATTGTCATTTTTAATCGATGTTTTAACACGCCAATACCATTTTTAGCGCGCCAAAATACCAAATCATCGTTTTTAACGTGTCAAAATGTAAAATCGTCGTTTTTATACCGCATAAAAATACCGTTTTTAACGGGTCAAATTGCTAAATCGTCGTTTTTAACTCTTAATAATGCTAAATCGTTGTTTTTAACACATTAAAATTGAAAGATTGTTGTTTTTAACGTATTAAATTTGTCAAATCGTCGTTTTTAACCCCCCATAATGACAAGTCGTTATTTTTAAGGTATCAAATTTCTCAATTATCTTTTTTATGGCACCAAAATGTCAAATCGTTATTATAGCATGCTAAATCGTCATATTTAACGCGTTAAAATTCCAAATCGTCGTTTTTAAGCTCCAAAATGCTAAATAGTAATTTTTAAAAATCGGACTTTTATTTATTAACCCGTCAATATGCCAAATCGCAGTTTTATTTATTGTTTTAACAAGTCCAGTTGACAAATTGTCGTTTTTAGAGCACCAAAATGCTAAATTGTCGTTTTTAATTAATCAAAATGTCAAATCGTCGTTTTTAAATCACGAAAATGCAAAATTATCGTTTTTTAAAACATTAAAATATGAACTTGTCATTTTTAAAGCTGTTGAATAACAAATTGTTATTTTTTAACGTACAAAAATGCCAAATTGTCCCTTTTTTATTTCTTTAACAAGTTGAATTGACAAATTATTGTTTTTAAGGCTTCAAAATGTTAAATCTTCGTTTTTAATTGCAAGTCGTCGGTTTCAAATCATGAAAATGCAAATCCGTCGTTTTTAAAACATCAAAATGTAAAATTGTCATTTTTATCGGTTTAAAATATTAAATCGTCGTTTATAACGCGTTAAAATACTAGCTCACTGTTTTTAATACACCAAAATACTAAAACGTCGTTTTTAAATCATGGAAAATGCAAAATAGTCGTTTTTAAAACACCAAATATGAAATTATCATTTTTAACACTTTAAAATAACGAATCGTCATTTTTAATGCACAAAAATACCAAATTGACCCTTTTTTATTTTTTTAACAATTTGAATTGACAAATTGTCGTTTTTAAAACACCAAAATGTAAAATTGTCATTTGTAAAGCTTCAAAATAAATCGTAGTTTTTAAAGCATATTACAAAACTGCCACAATTAAAGAAGCCACTTATAAATAATCTTTAATAATTTATATTTTTTGTAGCAATGGAGGTTATTTCCACACATGGCGGCGGCCGCTGTATTAAGAGTATTCGTTAACGGTTTTACTGAAACCTACTTAACTACAGTCGAAAAATCAACTACCTCAGTAGAGTTACAGAATTTAGTAAGTACTACTATACTATTAGATATATTTTGATATTGTTATTTATATTAAATAAGCGTAGATGTATATAATATTTATTGAAACGTTTTTATCATACAATAATTAAACTCTTAGCTGTCTTACATGTTCATTGACATGAAATCTGTCATGTGTCACGCTATGTTAACCTAATACTGCATATACTATTGTTCTATTTTAAACAATATATTCATTTTCAGAGCGAAATGGTATCAGAAATACACGCCCTAGTCTCCGTCGCCAAACCCCTGATGAGTTTTGCGTCCAGAGATGCTGCACAGGAGTGCAGAGAAGCCTGTGGCGGTCACGGGTTTCTAAAAGGCGCTCGGCTGGGCGAAATCAGAAATACCGTGGAACCTTGTCTAACGTACGAAGGCGACAATAACGTACTGATGCAGCAAACCAGCAACTGGCTGTTGAGACAATATCAGGCAGTCGCGGCTGGAGAGAAATTTTCGTCTCCGCTGGGAAGCTGTTCGTTCTTTTCGGATTTCAAAACGATAAAGAACCTTAGGAGTAACGTTAGGAGCGTTTCTGAAGTACAAGTTAAGGAATGTAAGTGATTTAAGACGTTTAAATTCATTTCTAAATACCTATATTTCTTAAAACTAGCTTTGATGATCTGCCGGTTTGTCCTATGTATGGCTGAATCGATTTTTCGGCTGATTTATTTCGAATTTGATATATTATTTGGTTTATCGGTTATAGAACGTTGCTGATCCTTAAAACTAGTTTTTAAAGATTTTTTTGTTTGTCTTCCGTATAATTAAACCAATTTTTTTGGCAGTACTGTTTTTGATGCAATTTAAGGAATGTAAGTTCCTTAAAATTGCTTTTGATCTGCTGAATCGATTTTAACGTACTAAAAGGCCAAATCGTCGTTTTTAAAACATCTAAATACAAAATTGTCTTTTTTTAATGTCTCTAAATAGCAAATTGTCGTTTGAACGCGTTAAAATTGTAAACCATTGTTTTTAATGCGTCAAAATGCCTAATCGTCGGTTTTATGGCGTCAAAATACCAAATTATCGTTTATTGAAGTATCGAAATGCAAAATCGTCTTTTTAACCCCTCAAAAATACCTTATCGTCGTTTTTAGCGAAATAAAATACTAAATCGTCGTCTTTAACGCACCAAAATGCCAAATCGTCGTTTATTAAAGCATCGAAATGCAAAATCGTATTTTTAAGGTATTAAAAATGCCATATCGTCGTTTTTAACGCATTAAAATTCCAAATTGTCGTTTTTAACGCATTAAAATACCAAATTGTCGTTTTTAACGTACCAAAATGCCAAACATTGAAATACAAAATTGTCTTTTTTAACGCTTCCAGATACCAAATCGACTTTTTAACGCATTAAAATTGAAAATGATTGTTTTTAATGCGTTAAAATGTCAAATCATTGTTTTTAAATCATGAAAATGCAAAATTGTCGTTTTTAAAACATCGAAATACAAAATTATCTTTGTTAATGAGTCAAGATGCCAAATCGTCGGTTTTATGGCGTCAAAATGTCAAATTATTGTTAATTAAAGCATCGAATTGCAAAATCGTCTTTTTTAAAAATCAAAAATACCATATTGTCGTTTTTAACGCAATAAAATGACAAATTTTCGTTTTAAACGTACCAAAATGCCAAATCGTAGTTTCTAAAACATCGAATTGTCTTTTTTAATGTCTCTAAATACCAAATTGTCGTTTGAACTCGTTAAAATTGTAAATCATTGTTTTTAATTGGTCAAAATGTCAAATAGTCGTTTTTATTACGTCAAAATGCCAAATTGACGTTTATTAAAGCATTGAAATGCAAAATCGTCTTTTTTACTCCTTAAAAATGCCATATCGTTATTTTTAATGCAATAAAATACAAAATCGTCTTTTTTAACGCACCAAAATGTTAAATCGTTGTTTATAACGCCGCAAAATGTTAAATCGTCGTTTTTAAATCATGAAAATGCAAAATAATCGTTTTTAAAACATCGAAATACAAAATTATCTTCTTTAATGTATCAGAATTTCAATTCATCGTTTTTATTGCGACAATATGTCAAATTGACGTTTATTAAAGCAATAAAATGACAAATAGTCGTTTTTAACGCCGCAAAAATGTTTAATCGTCGTTTTTAAATAATGAAAATGCAAAATCGTCGTTTTTAAAACATCAAAATACAGAATTGTCTTTTTGAATGCCAAATTGTCATTTTTACACACGAAAATGATAAATCGTCGTTTTTAAATCATGAAAATGTATAATTGTCATTTTTAAAACACCGAAATACAAAATTGTCTTTTTAAATTATCGTTTTAACGCGTTAAGATTGTAAATCATTGTTTTTAATGCCTCAAAATGCCAACTCGTCGGTTTTATGGCGTCAAAATTCCAAATTGTCGTTTATTAATGCCTCAAAATGCCAAATCGTCGTTCATATGGCGTCAAAAAACCAAATTGTCGTTTATTAAAGCATCGAAATGCAAAATCTTCTTTTTAACGCGTCAAAAATGTTATATTTTTGTTTTTTACGCAATAAAATGTAAAATCCTCGTTTTTAAACATTCATATACAAAATTGTCCTTTTTAACGCCTCAAAATACCAAATCGTCGTTTTCAAATCGATTTTTTGGCCGATTTATTTCAAATTCCAGGTATTATTTGATTTTTCGGTTATAAAACATTGGTGATCCTTAAAACTAGCTTTTAAAGATCTCTTGATGTTGTGTCCTATATGGATTAAGAATGATTTTGAGGATATTAATTTCGAATTTTTCAGTTATAATGGCTTCCTATCAATGGTTGATCTTGTACCTGGTCGAGGAAACCGACAAGAGAATGAACGAAGTAATGCAAAGCGGTTTGGATAAATTTACTGCCCGTAATGAATCTCAAGTATATAGGGCGTCAGTATTATGTAGGGCGTACGGTGAATACACGGCTCTCAGGTATTATTGGGCTAGAGCCGAAAAGGGTGAGTTTAAAAAACGTTTTTTTTCTATTTTATTTTTTTTTTCGGTTTGTTACTTTTTATTTGAAATGTCAATTTGACAGATTCGTTTTTTCTCTGATTCTTAACGGTTTTAGACATTTTTTAATTTTTTTTAACGATTTTGACTCATTTCAAGTGAAATGTCATTTTGACAGATTCAGTATTTTTTTTCATTTATTTTAATAGTTATGGTTTTTAACACTTCTCCAGTCTCTCGAATACTTTCAAGTAAACTGTCAATTTGACAGTTTTTTATTTTCGCTAGTTTTTGTACACCTATGACACCATTTTTCCAATGTTTTGCAGTATTTTGACTAATTTCAAATAAAATGTCATTTTGACCGATTCAATATTTCTATTCTATTCTAATTATTTTAATAGTTATGCTTTTTAAACACATCTCCAGATTTTTTCGACTATTTTAGTGTAAACTGTCAAATTTGACAGTTTCTTTATTTCTGTCAGTCTTTACTGTTTTACATGCGAAATGTCAATTTGACAGATTTAAAAATTCTGAGTTTGCTAGTTTCTACTTATATTTTCAAGTAAACTGTCAATTTGACAGTTTATTTCTGCTAGTTTATACACCTATAACACGATTTTTCCAATGTTTCGCAGTATTTTGACTCATTTCAAATGAAATTTCATTTTGACAGATTCAATATTTGTATTCTAATTTAATTATGCTTTTTTAAACACATTTCCAGATTTTTTCTATTTTAGTGTAAACTGTCAAATTTTACAGTTTCTTTATTCCTGTCAGTCTATACTGTTTTATATGCGAATTGTCATTTTGACAGGTTCACACTATTTATGAGTGTTTATCATTATTCTAGTTTTCCTTTTTTTAATTTATTCAACATTTTTAGTAAATAACGTTCATTTAAGTCCTCTGACACTGTTGAAGCGAAGTGTCATTTTGACGGGTTCATTGATTCTGTACTTTCCTGTTTACGTTTTTTAGAATGTTATTGTTATTTTCACTATTTTTCACGATTTTTTAACGTTATTCTGATGTTTTTCTTTTTTTAATGTATTAAACATCTACGTCAATTTATGTCGTTTGGCTTTTTTCAAGTGAAATATCATTTTGACAACTTTATTGTCTCCAAGTTTTTGCCCATGTTCAAGATGTAACATTCTTGGATAATTTTCTAAATGATCACAGTTTTTGCATTTTCTGCTAAATGTCATTTTGACAGGTTCGATAATTAAATTTTAAAAGGTTCTAACAGACTTTACTTTCAACAAAAATAGCATTTTGACTTCTTTATTAATTTCAACAAAGGCTTTGTCAATCAGAACGTCATTTTGACAGTTTCCCTTTTTAATTATTACAGCCGACAGCAGTTTGGAATCAACAGTAACCAACCTCGGCATTATGTACGGCTTGTGCGGTTTAGATAAGCATTTGGCGTACTTTTATCAAGGCGGTTACGCGCGGCAACCTGAGTTTGCGCAACACATCAAAGAGGCCATTTTGGATTTGTGCAAGAAACTGAAAGGGGACGCGCTGTCTGTCATCGACGGTCTGGCGCCGACGGATTATGTCGTCCATTCGGTCTTGGGAAAATCCGATGGAAAGGTAAGGGAGGCATTTTATTTTAGTAATATTTGACAAGTAAAACTGACAGTTGACGAATCCGGGTTACAATTAACTATTCAAAATTACATTAGATAGCTTTAAATTAAATTTGACAATTACGAATTATACTTATCAACTTATTTTGATAGTAGACAATGTGTTGACAAGTAAAGTTGACAGTTGACATATCTAAATTACAATTAAGGATTCGAAATAATATTTAATAGCTCAAAATAATATTTCACAGCTTTAAATGACATTTGACAATTGGAAATTACACTTATTGACTCATTTTCATAGTAGACAGTTCTTTGACAAATAAAACTGACAGTTGACATATACAAGTAACAATTAAGGATTCTAAACAACATTTGTTAGCTCAAAATAATATTAAATAGCTTTAAATGATATTTAACAATTGAAAATTACACTTGTCAATTCTTTTTGATAGTAGACAGTGCTTCGAAATGTAAAACTGACAGTTGACATGTCTAAGTTACTATTAACGATCCGAAATAATAGTTGGTAACTTAAAATAATTGACAATTGAAACAGCTCTAAATGACATTTGATTATTGGAAATTATACTGATAAACTTATCTTGACAGCAGATAGTGCTTTGACAAGTAAAACAGTTCACATATCTAAGTTAACAATTAAGAAATAACATTTTATAACTCAAAATAACATTAAACACTTTCAAATGATATTTAACTGTTAAAAATTACATTTACCCACTCATTTTGATAGTATATAGTGCCTAATTCACAATTTTGACAGATTTAAGCGACAGTAGATTGCTAAAAGTGACATTGACAGAAGGAAATGCCATTGACAGTTTGAAATAGCAATTTTTTATGTATGACAGTTAAAAGTGATAAATGACGACAGTTAGAACTGACATTTGATGATTGTTGGCATTTCTATGATTTATTTTGCTGTTTTTTTGATTATAGCTGTACGAAAATCTGGAAAAATTAATAAAGGAAAGTCCTAGTGCGACGTCCAGACCATCTTGGTGGCGCGAAATCGTTTACGACAGTGTGGAACTGTCAAAACTCACCAGCAAACTTTGAACGAAGCTACTAGAAAATTGATTTAATAAAAATGCACAAATTTGTTTCGAATTTTTTTAAATTTATATACAAATTTTATTGAAAAATGAAAGCATTTATTTCTTATATTTACCAAATAATGAACCATGATGTATTTTTGTAACTATTTTTTGTATTATGTAAATGAGAATATTTATAAATGAATTATATGCCTTGATCTAATACGATGTTTCAGAATAATTTAATAAAAGATTTTTTGTCGAAATATGTTTGTTTTTATACAAAAATGTACTAAAAAATTCTAGAAATTAATAAACTTAAAAAAAACGATAAACTGAAGATTTCTAAGAAAAAAATGTTATATGAAGTTTTTTCGATAAATATTTTCACAAATAACACAAAAGTTTACGTTTCATCGAAAAAAACGAATGGTATTTTTTTATTTCTCTGTCTTCTGACTCTTTATTGAACCAACGTCTCACGGTGTTGCAACTAATTTATACAGTTAAGACATCTAGCCAATCATGTTTGAAATGTGAGCGTGGGTATAGCTGTCATACCTAAAACGGGAATCAGCTTTTTGTTTACTCATTGTTAGGTATCAACATTTATCCCCATTCTTGTTTTATTAAATGGAAAAGTAAAATTGTATATTTGCAATGCACTGTTTTAAGCAGTGAATAAAATCTGTTGTTTTTTAAACCAGCGTGTTTTACTTTCTATTCCAGAAAAATAAAATATTCCTAAACTATTATATTATACTATTATGCTATTAAATCAATAATTTTACACATCATACAGCGTGTCAAAAAATTGTATTTTATGTGATGAAACATTTTGTACAATAAAAATCTAATTAAGGCTTGTTATACAGTGTGTCTAATTAAGTCGGCACGTTATGGGAAATTCTTTTATTATTAATTTTACGACAAAAAGTTATTCATAAAAAGTTTTGCATGGTCTACAACATAAAATGCAACTACCAGATATCAATTTTTTTAAGCCGTAGGTATACGAGGTACGTTAAAAATATAAATTTTGTGCAAGAGTAGTTATTTATTGACAAATCTCGTATAAGACTGATAAAATTTGGTATCAGATGGTAAGGATGATGGTAACACACCGTCGGGATCTGCATTTTTGGCTCGATCTAGATGTCGAATTTTGGATGACACTTCTTCTACTGTAAATTTATGAATATATATACAGTTAATGGAACTGAAATAAAATCTGCATTCTTTTTTTTGTAGATCAAAATGGATGAATTATTTATTTTAATTATTATTACATTACTCAACAGGTCAAGACCAAATTACAGAGTAAAAGTACAAGAATATATAAATACAATTAATTTAGAAATAATACACTAATTGATTGAACATCTGGTGAAAAAAAAAGCTTGAGATTTATTTTTCTAGCATCTAGATTCAAGGTATTACAAGACATTACAAAACATTTAGAGGAGTTATTGAGACACCACTCCTCAACACGTCGCAGATTACACAGGCCTGCATTTAAATAAAATGTGAATTGAATTTTTCAACTGAAATTGGGTATTTCAGTGACGCTGATTTCAAATCGGCCTTTAGTTTTTTTCTATCACGTAAGGGTTTTAAACAAAATACTACAAGAATGCAAAAAGTAAAAATATATTTATAGATATTTAGGATAAAAAAAAAGAAAATAATAAACCAAGAAAACAAACAATAAAACCGGGAAAATAGTTAAAAAATAACATACATTAATCCTTTGTTTTCTTGAAAAATCATCTCTTTCCGGAAAAGCTTCTTTTTGTTGTTTTTCGTGCATATTCTACGGTAGGACGGTCCCTTTTAAGCATCCAACAGTAGTCTGCCATCATTTTGATATCCCAGCGCCCTTGATCTCGCCGTTCCATCTCTTTTATGTCCTGGTGAAAGCGCTCCCCTTGCTCTTTAATGACATCGCCAAGATTATCCGGAAAATAGTCAAGATGAGCATGTAGAAAATAAATTTTTAAGCTCATATTACAGCCTAACTTTCTAAATTTGTCCAACATGTTTTCAACAATACTTTCAAATTCCGGATCTTTTTAGTTTCCTAGAAACTTATTTATAACTTGTTTAAAAGCTGTCCATGTTTCTTTTTCGTCTTCCTGCATAACCGTCTCAATTTCATTAGTTTTCATCAACCTTCTTATTTGTGGCCCAACAAAGATGCTTTCTTTTAATTTAGCTTCATAGAGACCCGGAAATGTTTCACACAAGTACTTAAAGCAACCACCATTTTTGTCTAGAGCTTTGACAAATTGTTTCATCAGCCCCAATTTTATATGTACAGGGGGTAATAAAATTTTCTCGGAATCAACTAGGCTTTTCCGAATTACGTTTCTTTTAATTTTTAAAGGTAAGTAATGTTTGATGTTAAATTTCACTGAGCTAGTAAAAATCTCTTATAAGTTTTTTTGAAATTAACATTTTATCACAAGGTAACAGAGAATATTGCACAGAAGTTCTAAAAAAAAACCATGTTGTACCGTTCATGGTTATTCTTGGAGAAGACGCAACCTTTATGCATAATGTACGGCTCCACACTGCTCGGATAGTTACGGCTTATCTCGACGAGGTTCAAATTACGCGATTTGCTAGGCCTGGTCGAAGTCCAGATTTAAATCCGATCGAGCGTGCGTGGAATGAGATGGGGAGATGTCTACGGAGACATGTGCAGGCTCCCAGAAATGCTAGAGAGGTTCGCGACATACTGGTGCAGGAATGGGACAATCTTCTTCAGGATGTGATCCAAAGCATGCCTCGTCGTTTTGCAAACTGTTATTACTGCCAGATGAGGAAATGCTTGCTACTGAAGCGTTTAAAATTTCTTTTGTTTGAACTAAAGACATCAAATTAAATTTTCATTATTTTCAATAAACTATGAACAAAACAAAAAAACTTTTTTTTATTCAAGTAAGCATGAGAAAGTCATCCATAAAGTTAGCAAAAAATAAAATAAAAAATAATTTAAACGCAAATTACGAGGTAACCCTACCCAGCAAACATTTTCGATATTATTAGGTATAACTCGACTTGTTAAAAGTCAAATCTACTTATTGAGGTAATTATTACGTAAAATTGACTAGAAAAAGATACCTGTACTTTAAATTTACTAAATAGTTCTAATGTATGTATAAATTTACGTAAATTATACCAAGAAATCTACCTCGTACACATATCTGCTTAAAAGTAACTTTAACCAAATCGGAAAGGGGAAAACTACTAACAAAAATAACCTCAAAGGTAAATTACCATTAAAGTAAAATTAGGTATCATAATTAGGTAACATCTACCTGTTTGGCTACTAAAAATCGTCTTTATAGTAGAATATCCTACTAGGTAAGATTTGGTTGAACATTTTTCGTAACTTTATACCTATATAGTAACCTATTTGGATGCTTTATTTGCTCTACTTTAAAGTAATATTAGGTCGATATTGTAGAAAAAGTATACCTTGTTTTTCTACCTAATTTCAACCAAATAGTCGATTACTCATTTAGTTGACCTAAAAGTCGTCATGAATAAATAAATATTAACTTTATTGTAGCAATTACCTGAAAAATCTACTACAAAGTAATTTCGACTCTTAACCACCAATTTAAAACCTGCCATAGATAACCTAGGTATTTGTAAAAATTATACTATTTAGGTTATTTTAACAATTAGGTTGTTCACTTATTGTGTTCGTCATTATTCTTAAGAATTTCGGCCATTTTAAAAAACCGTAACAATGGTAAACATAATTCTCTTGCCGTATAGATAGAGCTATAAATAAATGCAAAAAGTAATAAATAAAACATTTTCGATTTTTTTCGTAAAGTCAAACGTTTTAAATCTCAAGTGCAGTATAAAGTGAAAAATAAACAAATTAATATAGCTGAAATTTACTAATAGGTAGGATTTCCAAAAATAGGGTGACTTAAATATGTTACATTTACCTACAGGTAAATTTTTGATAAAACTTACAAGTTATTAATTCCTTAAATAGGTAAAGTTAACTAACATGTCGTTATCTTCAACTTAGTCAAAAGCTATTTGTAAAATACGTAGATTTCCATAGTCGTATTAACTTTTAAGTCGAATTAGCACAATACGCCATATTTTCTTAACATAATTGAAGTACGATTTAAAATTTTAAATTTTTTAAATTAATTTAACTAGAAAAGAACGGATGAAAATTACAAAAAAAAAACATTATTGATTTTCTAAAGTGATACACAACAAATGTAACATAGTTTTAGTTAATATTATTATTATAATTTTTTTACATCATAATATTTCTTCTTATTAAAGAGTATTTTGGAAGGGCATTGTTTTTTTTTTTTAATTTGGTGTCATCGGCGTCGACTACTACGGCCATTAGCCTCGTGTTCTGTGTAGGCTTTGTTACTGTTTCCCAGCGCCACTTTAGGAACAGCACTGTTAATTAGAACCCAACAGTGAATGGTCGAGTGGGGAATCCTACCAAGGCATCAGAATTAATTTTAAATAATTAAATTAAATGAAAAAATCCCGGCCAACGGTGGGATTCGAACCTGAGACCTTCCGATCTCAAAGTCATGACTCTAACCACTGAGCAAACCCACCCCCAAAAAAGGGCATTGTTATTTTTCAAAGTAGAACTGTTAACATGCATGACAAAGTTTCCTTCGCATTAATTTTAACAAACGTAACCTATTGATTCGTCGTAATTAAATAACATATATATTTTTGTTACAGACATTTATTTATTTTCAATATTTGCTGTGAATTAAGTATATATTTTAGTTGTGTTGGTCACTTCCTACAATATTTCGACTTCTATAGATAAAAATACCAAATAAGTATAAAATTTATCTTTTTGTGCACTTGTAGTCATTCGTCATCTGAAAATCTTTGTAGTTTCTACCTAAAGCTGGTTAAATTAACGTCGAATTGACGTTATACTGACGTAAAATTTCCCTAGAGAAGTATTATTAACCAAACGTAGTAGGCTACTACAATGTGGATTTAGGCGTAATTTTACCTATTTTGGTCAATAAAACCAAATTTCGACGTCGTCTTATGTCGAATCCACGTCGAGATGACGTAAATGTTCCTTAAATATGGTTAAATCTAATTTTGCGACCAAATTTATTATACATATTGTCACGAATTGCATTTAAAAATAATTAGATTTTTATTAAAGATAAAATAAAGTACTTTCCAAAAATATATTTCAACTCAAATTTTAATAAAGCCATTTCCAAAAATATAATTTTATTTCAATCTTTTTAATTTCCATTCAATTCCAATTTGTGTTTAATATTACATTTAAAGTTATTTAAAACAATAACAATCTTTTCGTCTAGTAATTAAAAACTTTATTTTATGTTGAAAATAAACAATGCACTCAATTCGGTTATGCTGATTCTACAATTTCAAAACAATGTTGGGGTCAGCTAGCCAAATTGACAAAACAAAAAATAACAACATTTTTGGCACAACCGAGGCTATAAGTTCTTCGGCTGTGACGAAAATCGGCAGTAGGTAATACTCTGCTGTATTACAGCAATAAAAATAAAAATAAAAAATAAAGTCGTGACATGCCAGCTTGCTGTTAAAATATGTGGTAAGGTTTTTTATAAATCTAATAAAAAATAAAATAAAAAAGGTATTTCTGAGAAAAGTGACCAGTTGGTTCTTTAAAGTCTTTGTAGTGTATATATTGTATATTTGGGGTGTATTATTATATTGGGGATTTCTGGACAGTTCAGGGGATTTTAGTTTGTATTTATTAAAGATTTGTAGTTTTTTATGCAGTGACTTTTATTCCTTCCCAAGTAGCGTAAAGCCAAGCCAAGCGTAATAAATCATAAGAAAGGTTCTCCAGTGAGTATTTTCGGGTGGCGCAAAGATCTTCCTCAACTGGAAGATCGTTTGGGCGATCCGAAATACGCAGTGGCGTACCCCACGATTAATTGGTTTGCCTAACAAACCACTTAACGTGACAATATTTTAGGTAGTCTCGACGTCAAATTAAACCAAAATGTTTGCTGGGTAATTTTATGCCCGGCAGTGTAAATGACCAAAATTTGTCGGCATTGGATATTTCATCTTCAGATTTTTTAATAAATTGTTTATAGGCCACACTAATATCACTTTTTATGATTGTCAGTCTTTTAAATTCGTCGAAAGCTAAAATGTCATTATCAGATTTATATTTACGCCAATTTTGTCCTTTTTTATGAATATTTCGAATGATATTACCATCAAATCATGGTGGTTATTTCGTTTTAAAGGGTATGGAAAATTTTGGCACGCACGAGTCAAATATGTTGTATAATTTTCCGTAAAAATAGGAGCAAGAGCGTCATTGGGGTCCTGAAACACTTCTAAAAATTGCCAGTCAACTTTTGATAACATGTCATACACCTCTGGGAAATTTGCTTTCCTAAAATTATAAGACTGCTGAAAAGAGCTTTTAAATCTCTTTTACCTCTGATATACCAAGAGCATTATAAGTTATATCAAGTGATAGGTGATACTTATCTTCCGCAACTAATGGATCCAGGGATCTCTCAACCAAAATAAACTTATTACATAAAACTAAGTCTAAAATTTTGTGAAATCCATGAAATTGTTAAGTAATGAGATATGTCGAGAATTATGTAGGTACAAATCGTTTTAATTTAATAAAAACATCCCACTTTTATTAACATTTTATTAACAATACGAAATTACAAAAAAAACGTACTTTTACAGAAAATACCATTGAATCAAAAAAAACCAGAATCAATTTGAGACGTATAAAGTTAACATTTTGTAACTCAATGGATATACAAACAAAAAATGAACTTTAAACCCATATAACCAAACCATACAACTTTTTTGTACCCAAAACGCAACGCCTCAAAATGATTCCGATTTTGTATCATCACTTCCCTTAATCACATGGTCTCCAAGCAGTCTTTGTCGATTTTGGATAAAACGACGTTCAGCCCATCATGCTTGAACGTCTCTTTGAAGGTATTGAGAAAACCGCGTTCCGAATCGCTGTGATTGCACAAAATCACGTTGATACCGTTCTGAGTAGCTTCTAATACTTCGTGGTGCAACATTTCCCCTGTTAGGTACAAATCTGCCAGTACGCCGCTCAGTATCGACGCCCCAGACCCCGCGCAAATTGCTACTGTGGAAATGGGCGATTCTAAAACAAAAATAAACATTTTAAAAGGCCACAACTACGCAAAAATCCAATAAATACCCAAATGCCTGTGTCTGGCGACTGCGACTCTAACGTATGGCACACCAACGTGCTTTTTGACTGCAGCTATGGCGTTCTTCAATGAAATAGCAGATTTTAAAGTCAAAAAACTGCCAACACCATGTCCTCCCTCGTAATCTTTATTTTCTATGATGGGTTTATTGCTGGAACTGTCAAAAGCTTTCCCCAACCATTCATGCACGCCGTTCTCCATCGCGTCCCAAGTGGTATGTGGACTGAACACAGCAATATCGTTTCTTATACATTTCGAGATTATACGTTCTTTCCAGTGGCTGAAACCGAAAAATACTCCAAAAAATGCGAATAATTCACCACAAACACTTTTTCTATTCTACATTGACATAACATCATAATAATAATAATAATTATTATTAATAATAATAGTTTATTTGTCCTTTAGGATCATGTTACATGATATAGGATAAGTCATAATATATATGAATAATAGTAGATAATAGGTTCTTTCGTTCGCTATTGGTGTAGTGTCCACCAGTGTAAATTACACCAGTTACACCACCTTATTTACCTTAGTTTACTTCCCTCCTTATTCCTTTTACACATTTCGGGTGTAATTCACTCCTGCTAAATAGCCGGTGGAGAAAATATCCACCAGTGGACACCACATCGCCGACAGGAAGGTTTAGTGGATTTTACACCGGGCCGAACGAAAGGTTTAGTGTACGTTGGTGTAGCTCATTCCTACACCAGTGGGACGAACGAAAGAACCTTATATATCTAGGGTGAGAAGTGAGCTATTATTTACCGAGCACTTTTGCGAGGTAAATAATAGCTTTCTCAGCCGAGGTATATATAGAATTTTTTTTTCACTACTAACATTAATATATTAGCAATTTTAATTTTGACATACGTAATTTCCTAACAATTTGTTAAATATTTCGAAATATCAAGCAGAGTGGAGCGTGTTTCTAATCAGACTGGCTTTATTTATGTAAAAATTTGGCATGTGTCAAATTTTGATATGATTCTAGGAAATATCCCATTGCATTTTTGATATTTTAGTGACATGGATTTATTGGTATTAATTAATAATTTTTAAAGCCTATTGCCGGTATTGAATTTCCTAGTTAATATATTTTTGTGCTTTTGGTTAAAATTACGTTAACAAGTGTTTCTGTTAATTTCGTTAAGAATATAGAATTGTTCTCATTATTTACCTAGCTGTTTTTTTATTATCATTATTTACCTAGGGTGAGAAATATTACTTCTCATTAGGGGAATAGAGTGAATAATATCAATTTCTCAGGTTAGTAGTAAAAAAAAATATTAAAATACAGGCTTAAATCTTGCAAGAAGGTGAAAAAAGAAACCTCTAAAAATTTGAGCTCTTAATATTCATTTAGTGGTGCCTGTTCCAAACTTTCCATTTTCCATCTAAATAACATGGAAAAATTTTTTTTCTTTTTTCTTATTTTTGTAGCTTGACATTTGACATTGTAAAAATAAAGTGAAAAATTATTTTGGTAGGAAATTGAACGCTCTACAAAAATTTCTAATTTATTTTTTTCATAGAGTGAGCTGTTCTGAAGATATTCAAACTTAAAGTTGCAAATATATGGAATTAGGACTTCTATTTTATTAAACTAATACTGGTGACTTTTTTATGTCTTAAAAATTATTTTTAATCAGAAAACTGGTTTTTGTGCGCTAATATTTTTAGAAAGCTAAAATAAAAAAAATACATTTTAGATATTATTTGATTATTTGATTAACTGTTAAACAAAAGTAATTATGAATTAGGTTCAGTAAAATTATTATTTTATAGATTAAAAAGAACTTTTTAACAATTAGCATACTAAAATTTTGTAACTAATAGATATTTTAATGTCTTATCAGAATTAAATGATGTAACTATATTTGTTGAAGTTTTTTATTACAATTTGGATATTTTCGTCAGTGCTTTTACCACTTGTAATAAATATTAAAATTGTTCCTCATCTTTAGTTAGGCATCTATTATATTCTTATACTAATGCGACACCATGTCCTGCAACGTCATTGACAACTTTCAATTTTTCGAACTCCGAATTCTCTTGATAACTTTCATTATCTGGCCAAATTAGGACATCTGCATCCAGAAAGTCGTACGGCAAATCAAATTTGTCAAAAAGTTTCAATGATTGTTTTGAAACAAAGTCACTCATATTTTTGTTTAAAAATATTTCTGGTGAATTTTTGTCTTCTGTGCGTCGTTATTTTCTTTCTATATGAAAATAATGATGTTTTATTGAAAATAATTTTTAAGACAAAAAAGTCATCAGTTTAATAAAATAAAAGTCCTAATTTCATACATTTGCAACTTTAAGTTTGAATATCTTCAGAACGGCTCACTCTATGAAAAAAATAAATTAGAACTTTTTGTAGAGCGTTCAATTTTCTACCAAAATAATTTTTTACTTTATTTTTACAATGATCAAATGTGAAGCTACAAAAATAAGAAAAAAGAAAAAAAATTTGTTAAAAAAGTTGAAAAAAAAAGTTGCTCAAAATGAATGAAATTAAATTAAGGGTAAAATATTTATACAAAAATGTACAATGTAGAAATCGAAAATCGACGTGTCTCGACGATTTTCCTAACAAGACTCCACAAAAATATACAATTAGAAAAACATTTACCTTAAAATATGGTGGTATATAAATTATAAAAACATGAATTTAATAAATAGTTTTTAAGTTTTCTTTTAAAATGTTCATATTTCTTTTCAGATTTAATGAAATCAGGGAGTTGATTAAAAAATTTAATTCCAACAAATTCAGGCGATTTCTCAAATAATGTTGTTGAATGTCTTGGTGTTCTGAATAAATTTGCATTCCTAGTTGAGTATTCATGGTAATTTGAATTTTGTAAAAATTGGTGTATGTTGCATTTAGCATATAACAATGTTTTATAAATGTAAATACAGGGGAATGTTAATATTTTAAAGTTATATTTACAAGTTTGCATTAATTCTAGATTAAAAATAAGGCGAATTATTCTTTTCTGTAAGATAAATACTTTAGATGCATTGACTGCATCACCCCAAAGAATAAAGTTGTATGATTTATGAGAATATGCTAAAGCATAGTAGACATTAAGCAGTTGCTATTGGGTTAATATTGATTTTAATTTTAGCATTATATAGTATGTGCTGTTTAATTTTTTACAAACATTAGATATTTAGCTATCCCAACCCATATTGCTATCAATATGTATACCCAAAAATTTTGTAACATCTGAGAGCATAATGTCTGCATTATTGACATTTATTTTACAATTCTGGGTAATTTGATTTCTGGAGTAAAACTGAAGGCAAACGGTTTTGTTTGAATTAACAATTAAAGAATTTCTATAACACCATGATGTAAACTCATTAGATAAAACATTTAATTTGCTAATTAATTCATCTACTGATTGTGCATTGGTGGCAATTGTTGTGTCATCTGCATATAAAATTGTTTTCTGAGTTAATATGATTAGGCATATCATTTATGTAGCATAGAAAAATTAGAGGTCCTAAAATTGATCCCTGAGGCACACCCATATCAACACTTTCTAGTTCAGATTTACAATATCCGACTTTGACATAGATCTGTCTGTTATTTATATAAGATGACAACCAAGACAAAAAGTTACCTCTAAAACCAAGCCCTTCCAATTTTTGAATAGCGACATCTAAGTTGATTGAATCAAACGCCTTTGATAAATCAAAGAAAAGCGCACCCACAAACAACTTTTGATTGATAGAAGTATGTAAATTAAAAAGATCTATTGCTGCACTTTCAGTAGATTTTTCTGGAAGGAATCCATTTTGATTTTTGCATATTATTTCATATTTTTTAAGAAATATTAGCATTTTTTTATGGACACACTTTTCAAAGATTCTGCTTAAGATTGTAGGCACTGTAATAGGTCTATTTATCACTTAAATTATTATCACCTTTTTTAAAGATAGGAGTTACATATCCTACTTTCAGATAATCTGGGAAAATACCTAGCTGAATAGACTGATTGATTAAGTCTGCTAGAATTTGAGAGATGTGATGACTAATACGTTTTATTATCTTTGTGGAAATGCAGTCAATGCCCATAGAGTTAACATTTTTTAATGAGTGAATAACTTCAATTGCATCATGATGATCAACAGGAGAGAAGTAAAAGGTCTGAGAGACACATGATGCAGTAAAATTTTTAAAATTCAAATCATTGAAATGAGACTGTAGTGCTTTTTTTGTGGAGGTGGCAAAATGCTCTGCAAAAACTTTAGCTATTTGTTTTGGTTCAATAATTGACAGTCCTCCTACTTCAATTTGTTTAATTTGAGAATCTTTTGATGTTTTACCATCTTGGTGATTTACCATATATATTTTTGTTTTTGCTGAAAAGTTTTATTGTGCAATCCTTTTTGAAAATGAGATCTTTTTGCTCCATTTATATTATTGACATATTGTCTCTTTGCTTCTTTGTATCTAATATGTATATTCACATCATTAGAATTTTTTACTAACCAAAATAAATTCCTTATATCAGCTCCCATCCTCATAATATCTGGAGTTATCCAGTTATTTTTTTTATTTGTCTTTACAGCTCTTGTGACAACCGGACAATTTACTTCTAATATAGTAATTTAGAATATTTAAGAATGTTTCATAGGCAAGATTTATGTTATCAAAATATTCATACACAGAATCAAAATTTTAAGAACTTATTTTTTGCTGCAGATTAAGTAAATTCGACTCTGATAAAAGTCTCTAAAATGTATTTTTTCATTGATATCACATAACAATTTTTCTTTATATAATTTAATGACACGTCAATTGCTAGGTGATCTCCAACACAGAGGTCTACCATGGTTTCCATATATGTAGAAAGGTAGTTTGTGAGAAAATAATCAATTTTAGTACCTATGCGACGTTTTACCGTTTTTGTCAGTACAAATTCCAGTTGGTTCTCTATTTAAACAACGCAAGTTAAAACACTCCATCAAATCAACTAATAAAACTTTTTCTCATGAATCGTTTAAAAAATCAATATTGAAATCTCCACAAATTGATAAATAATCGAAATGTTTTGTAAAAAAACTTACCCTTGACTTATCGCTTTCAAAGGCTTAAAAATATTCGGGTGATAACTAATAATAAGTCTCGCTTTGTTTTCGATAGCCTCGTCCACTACATCTTCAGTTAAATCAATGGTTAGAAGAACAGTGTTGACAGTGGCCCCTTCTGACGGTTCAATCAAGAGCCCCACGTTATCCCACGGCTCGGCTAAATCTAAAGGAGCGTACTCTTTCAGTTTCTTAACTACCTCGACGAGTGGCATACCCATATTTGTGTTAAGCGGGTGACTATTTACAGAATACTTGAAATTTCCTATAAACGAAAAATTACGGTACTTTAATAGCGAACTCAATTTGTAAAAATGCGTCATAACCGATTTTTTAGAGCTTATAATACTATATTTTTGGACTTAAATGCTAAATTAAATATGGTTTAAAATTTCGATTTTTCGTACCTGATTGACAGTGAGGTTAGATTTTGAAGTTTATCATTGTTTTGACAGAATTGACCAACTAGATTTTTTTTAATTTTACTGAAAAGTAGGCAACACCTATTACAATTATTGTGTGGTAATATTTCAATAATCCAGGAAAATTAGATACAAATTTTAGAGGGAACATTTATAAACTTTATAGTCCAGTGATTGATAATAAAAATAGGACAAGAGAGATCAGCCAGAGCTAGAAATTAAAATCAAGAAAGATAGGGCTACACTACAATGTAAAAGGATTTTAAATAGATGCCAAAGGTGGCCTCAATTATTTTAAGTACAGTAAAACTATTCAATAAAACTAAAAATTTGAACAAAAATTGGCCGGTCGTTTAAGGGGGTACCCGTTTTTGTAGGTAATAATTAAAATAAATTATCTACAATGTGTGATGTGAATAAAATCGAGTATTACTGCATCCAAGTCAGGTAGACATTTCTTTTTTGTTAAAAAGTTAATTACATTTTTATTAAAAAAGATAGATAACATAAGCAAAAAGGTAAAAATTAAAATTCAAACACAAAGCAAAATAAAAATTTCATAAATGATAAATTGATATACAAAATAGAACGAAATACCAAACCGGTAGAGGGTAAAGGCAAGGGAAAGTAAAACATTTTTCAAGTATTGCTGGAGGTAATTATGTATTTATATTTTTTTTCTAAAATAAACGGACAAATGAGTGTTAGTATATTGTGCCTAATAAATAATGACTTAAATAAAGTAGGGTTGCCAGATTTCTGAAAGTGAAAAGCGTGACGACAGAGAGCATTAGGTTCAAATACCAAGCATTTTTATATAGTCAGGTCAATTTTTTGTGAAATTTCTAAAAAAAAGTCCTCAGTTTATATTTTTTGTAAAAACGAGGGTTCTTTACCCGTAGATTTGTCTATTTTTGTATAAATCCGGTTCCTCTGCGGCTTTAAAGCGTGACATTTGCATCAAAAGAGTGTGGCATTTTTTTCAAAAGCATGGCATTTTCGTACTGTGGCGTTGCGCGTACAAGCAAGTCAAAAAGCGTAGCAAATAAGAAAAAAGCGTGACGTCTGGAAACCCTACCCAGACAACACACCAAATCCCAGAGATATCCACAGAATATCTTTTGTGGATATCCAATATATCCACAGGATATCAGAAATATTCCGTGGATCTAATATGGATATCCAAATGTCCGTCTATATCCAGAATATAGAAGATATCCAGCAAAATATCTAATGGGTATCTTCCAGACAATACAAGAAACCCCACAGATATCCACAGAATATATTTTGTGGATATGCAATATATCCAGTGGATCTAAAATATGGATATCCAAATGTCCGTCTATATATCCAGAATATAGAAGATATCCTATGGATATCAAGCAAAATATCTAATGGGTACCTTCCAGACAATACAAGAAATCCCACAGATATCCACAGAATATATTTTGTGGATATCCAATATATCCAGTGGATCTAAAATATGGATGTCCAAATGTCCGTCTATATCCCAGGATATAGAAGATATTCGGATATTCAGCAAAATATTTTATCTGTAGTAGAGGTTCATAAGTAACCAATGATTATTGAATAACGTCGAAAGAAAATAGCAGAGATAAAAAATATTTTCAACACTCAAAATATTTTCAACACTCTGCCTTTGATTTTGCCCACTAAGGAGAAAGTCATTCTTATTAGGACTCTTCAACAATAAATGGAAATTCTCGACTCCAGTCTCTAATGGAGTCTTATTAGGACGAGCATGAGTAGATGCGAAAGTGGTATCGCCATCTACACTTAGTAAGCAAAATCCAATAATATCTAGTGGATATCCACGATAGTTTGCGTTCGCGCCTAGACTTTGATATATTTAGTGGATGTCCATGGGAAAATGAATACACCTTAAACAAATTAATTTTAAATATCTGAACGGTACTATTAGCCACAATGGCGTAATTTTTTAATAATTTGCTATATAATTACTATTATTCATGCACATTTGCATGTCTATAAATTACATTTCATGGATATAAAATAGATATCCACCATGGACTGGACATTCAATGGATATTGGGATGTTCAGTAGATATCCAAAGGATTTGGTGTGCTATCTGGGCTTATACCGCTGCCGGGCTCCCATTTGAGCCCGGGCCCCGGGAATTAGTCCCGGCTACCCCCCCTCTAGTCGGCCCTGATGATACTCGTCAAAAATCGTCATTATTTGTTAAGACCCCGTTATTAAAAAAAAAAAAACTATAGGACAAAGATGTTTTACCTTCTTAGCTCCTAAAATATACAATTTTCTGCCAGAAATCTATAAAATCCATATAAGAAAAATAAATTCCTTATCCTACATTAAAAAGATCTTCAAATTTTTTTTGATAAATACTGGTCGACAAAATATTCATGACTTAATTGAATTAAACTAAAATATCTAAATAAAAATTAAACCTAAAGTTATGTCTAAAAAATAAAAATTAAAAAAAAAAAAAAAATAAGTGTAATCATTTTCATGCTTTCCTGTTGTCATCAAAAATTGTTCATTGCTTTTCATCTTTTTTGTAATAATTTACAATTCGTCTGTTAATTCTACATTTCATCCGTCAATGTGTGTTTTTGAATGTTCTTGAAAATTGTGTTTTGTTATATTCTAACGCTTTTCCTTTTTATATAATTTTTTTAACTAATTATAATATTTATTAAGAGCGCATTATTATTATTGTTATATATGTTAGCGGTATTTCTCTATACTCCCCACCATACATTCTTGAAGTCCATACACATGCGTGTCAGGATGGACGAGCGGGAGAAGACAGACCAGCGCAGTGAGCAGTACGCTAATAGACAGTGGCAATACCACAGCAACATTGTAATTGAGAATACTTGATCCTGAAATAAACCATTGAAAAAGCAGTTTAGACATTTTTATTAGGGATGATACATCCCTTGAGTTTATATATATATTTGTATTAAGTATTTAATTTAATAATATTAACTACTCCTATTATACTCATGTTCATGTACATATTATTCATTAATCATTAGTCTGCTAGCTAGTAAAATTAATTATTATTCATGTATATTATTTTTTTTTATTATTATTGTTATTGCACATATTTAAATTATTATGATTGTAATTACTATTGGTATTATTATTAATCTTGAGTCTATTGTTATAATTATTAATTTTTATCAGCAATTATATGGCGCTACTAATAAACAGGAGTAATTTCCGAGCACAACCTTATGGTTTTTTCGGACTAACCCATGTTTATTTACATTAAAAGATAATTTATTTGTAAAAAAAAATATATGTAAGAAGTAAAATAAACATTTATTATTATTATTATTATTATAACTCGAATGTGGAATAGGACTAATATATAATGAATTGTATTAAGTAGATTTTTTTTTATTTTTAGCAACCAACATAGTATTTTTTTATTTATTCTCAACCAAAATTAAAAAAAGAAATATATGAAATTTTAAATAAAACTCTTTATTTTAATTAAATCTAACAAAATATCTGGCCTGTACAAACAGAAAACAGGATAATAAAGTGATCTAGTCTTCTGTATTTATAAAAGATATCAGAAAAGAACTGTCCAAATGTGTTATTACACATAAACTAAAACCTATGAGGCCTAATAGGTTTTTCTACATTAAACAATTCAGGATCTTGCAAAAAGACAGGTTCCTTAAGATAGTAGGCCATAAGACCGGCTGACTGGGCCTTAGAAATCTCAGATTGGACCAGTTCTTGTTGCTGTTTGCACAACCCCGTGATATGCCTGCCATAAATTCTTCCCGTATAAGGCGATTGAAACTGTGATAATAACCTGACGTTTTTGTAATCGACTATTATGTTGTGTTTGCATAAAACGCACTGTATTTTTTCTTTTTCGTATGGATTTTCCATGTCGAATTGCGGGATGTCTGTACTTGATGATCGCATTATTGAATGCCCTAAAAAAATGGTAAAATTATATCTTGTACGTTTAAGAACAATTTATTCACTCACTGAGGTTGATTTGAGGGACTAATCTGCGAATTAACTGGTTCATTTTTAATTTTTTAACAAAAAATATTTTTTGTAATTGAGGTTATGTTCAATATTAATTTCTTCTTCTCTTTTAGGATATGGCCTTTTGTCATTCATGCACTTCAGCATATTCTGCCTTTTTGATTATCATCTAAAAAATTATAATATACGTCCATTAAATGATAATAATAATAGAAACGATGTTAATTTCAACATATTGGATCATTAATGATTAAATTAAAAGGTTTATTTTATCAAATATGTTTGTAATTCAGGTTATGTTAAATATAAATTTCTTCTTCTATTCAAGAATTTGACCTTTTGCCACTCAAGCACTTCAACCATTCTGCTTCTTTTTTTACACCGGTTACGGTCTCTACTATAAATCGTAATAGGAAATTTATTAATTTCAGAAAATTTTATTTTGAATGACACATTTTTATTTTATTGCATATATGTAATATCCAATTATAATCTAAATTTGCATACAAATATAACGTAATTTATTTTAATAACAAAAATTATAAGGAAACAATTTTTTTCATCGCCTTCCTTTGCCTTTTCCCTTTCCCTTGGCGCTGCCAGTGACTTGCGGCTGGGGGTCTCCACTTCCCTTATTCAGTCTACTTTTAAGTTTGGGAATCATGTCCCCTAAATGTAACATAAGACTGTCTCTAGTAGGGAAATTGGGATTGCACAAACTGTTATCATCGTTTTTCAACTGAACCCGTATTCTACCGCGATACAACAGCTCCTTGCTTTTTTCTCTGCTGTACAATTTATTTTCTACACCAACCTGAAAATTATCCATAAAAATTTGACATTTATAAAAAGTAACTATTGCAAATACCTTTAAACCAGCTGCGACTAATACGTCCCTTATTTCTTGATGGGTGGGATTTTCCACACACTTTTCTTTGTTAATTTTCCTTCCTTGGGCTATGGTTTTTTTACTGTTAATATAAGCAGGATAAATGCAAATCCATCTGAAACATATGTAGATGTGGAACAGTTTTTATAGGTTAGGATTATTTTTAATTTGTACCTCTCTCGATCACTGTGCTTCTTATCGGGGCTCCACTGTAGAATAGATGTTCCCGGATATCCATGCACAACTCCACTAGGAGACTGTATCATTGTTCCTGTTCAAATGAGAAAATATTGTAAAAACAAATTATCCAGTTGTTTAATAATTTTACAGACGTAAAATTATTAGAGCTGTGGCAAACCGTATGTATTCGTTACTCAGTAACGGGTAGTCGGTCAGATACGAAATACGAATTCGTTACTGCATTTTAAATTTCGTTACTCGCATCCGCATCGTCGCATAACGCACAATAATAATACTTGAGAATACATACATACCGCCACCGGTTCGGTGTGCAAGATGCGAGATGGCCCGATGGGCGATGCGAAATGCGAGTGTGGCCTTGATGCGAATCGACTATCGAACCGCACGTCGACTGGGACTCGGAGAGTTTGAAACGTACTTTTGTTTATATTTACGTATTTATTTATTTATTTCAGTTTTAAAGAATAGTATAATAGTTGTTTTTCTGTTGCGTGTTGCAAGAATATAATATGTTTTTGTTTATTAAAGTTATGATTTTATAGAGTATTATTATTGTTTCTACTAGTGTGTTAGAAAAATATATATGTTTCTGTTCAACCTGTCTGACGATATTTTATTTTGCAAAACTTCACATCAGTTCTCATTGCTCATGCTCAGTGAACTACACGACTTTGTTACTAATTACAAATTCCAAATTCGCTATGTATTTATTTAACCAACGATTCGATATCTAATTTCATCCGCACCCTCTGTTAGACAGTACCAAAACCTAACAACCGAAGCAATGCGTACGTACGATTAGTTACCGACACCAATTCCGCATCCGCATAGACGTGTATGAGGTCCACACGATGCGTGTTCTGTAGATTCGTATCACAGTAACGAAAGTAACGAGTAACGAATATTTTTATACGGGTAGTCAGATCTGAAGTAACGAATACATACGGGTATTGATTTTCTCGTTACTTTTACAGCTCTAAAAATTATTGCTGTCAGCAGACTGTCAAAACTTCAGATGCTGTGCTGCAGGGTTGCCAGATCGCTAAGTACGATTTCCCCAGTCGAAATTTAAAAATATAATTTTAAAACTTTTGAAAAATGATATTTCATTTTGTTTATTTAAATAGTTCTATATATCTCTAATATACCCCAAAATAAACTATTTTACAAATAGATTCCCAAAAACTAAATATTTAATTCAAATAAAAATGACTGTCAAAGCATATTTTTATTTTTAAAATGTACAAATGAGTTATAACAGTAAAACTATATGTATAAAGGCACAAAAACATAATCCAAGTTAAAGGCTAACGAAAATAGTATTCATTGAAAAAAGATAAAGAAAAGTATATCAAATAGGACAATTAAGAAAAAAAGTAAAATATCAGCAAAGCTGCTAAAGGTTAGATTTGAGTCGAGTGGTGCCAGGCATAAAATCCACTTCTATTCCCTAGGCAAATATTTTTTCCCAAAAAAATTTCCTAAAGGAAATATAACCTATAATTTTTAGAGAAAATCCTCTAATCTGGCAACCCTGCTGTACTGACTCTGGAATTTAAATAAGTAGAGGACCCGCAGTACAGTCTAGTGTATTGTGGCCAGTATAAGCATAAGTGTAGTTGATGATTTAATTGAATAAAATAATTTAATATATAGTATAAAAAATCGATTTTAAAAGAGGTTTTATTGCAAGAATTTGTGTAGAATAAATGGCGAGGTATTTCTTGCTTGTACGTACCACCGACCTTGATGTACGTAATGACCAATGAACTGGAGTGGACATTGGTACGGACATATATGACGTAAGTTTAAAATGGATTTAGGCAACCAGAATTACCAATTTAAATTCTTCGATGGTAATTGAGGTTGCCTAATGAGAGTAATGCAAGAGATTTGATTTTTAGAAAGTTGGTCAAAAAATGCAATATATTTATTTATTGATGAAAAGTCTTCGATAATGGAAAAGTCGATCTTGAATAGATATAAAAATATAAGGTAGTCAGGAAACTCTTCTGAAAACCAGTCACAGCTGTCTTTATATTTTGTTAGATTCAGATAAAAAAAGGATTGTTTTATAATAACTTTTTCGAGATTAAAGTCGAAATTTTGACATTAAAGTCAATCTGAGTTGAAATTCGAAATTTCGAGATCAAAGTCAAAATTTCGAGTTTAAAATCGAAATTTTGAGATTATGAGCTTTATGCCGCGTTTGAGAATCCACATCGGATGCATCTGAGATGTAAAAAATCTTTGATCACGTGATTCAGAATACGTAAATGTAATGGGACAGATGTGTCCGATGTGGATAAAAAAACGCTCGAGATGTAAAAAATGCATCCGATGTGGATTCTCAAACGCAGCATTAGCATCACAATTATTATTGCGAAATATAAATATTATTTACTTAAGAATGAAGTTAACAGAAGTTATCGTCTAGAACTTTCTGAAAATAGTTTTAAAGAATTTTTTCAGCTGAATAAAGAGCATGGCTAAATTTTGTTTCATTATCGTTATACAGTACGTTAACTTTCCCACACTGACTAAAATCGAAATTTCTAGAAAAAAGTCAAATTTCAGAGTTTAAAATCGAAATTTAGAGATGAATGTGGAAATTTTGAGATTAAAGTTAAAATTCCGAGTTAAAAATCGAAATATCGGGATTAAAGTCGAAATTTTGAGTAAAGTCAAACTGAATTTAAGGTGGAAATATCGAGATTAGAGTCAAATTTTCCAGTTTAAAGTCGAAATTTAGAGATTATTGCCGAAATTTTGAGATTAAAGTCAAAATATTATTTACTCAAGAAAAAAGGTAAAAGAAGTGATCGTTTCGAACTCCCTGAAAATCGCTATAGAGAATTTTTCAACTGAATAAAGAGCGTAATTATATTTCGTTTCATTACCCTTATACAGTACGTTAACTTCCGCACACTGACTCCAGAAGGTTAATTTCCATTTAAAAGTCGAATTTCAAGATTAAAGTCAAAATTTCGAAATTCAAGTCGAAATTTTGAGATTAATGTCAAAATTCCAAGTTTAAAGTCAAAATTTCGAAATTAAAGTCGCAATTTCCAGTTAATAGTCGAAATTTCGAGGTTAAAGTCGAACTTTTGATATTAAAGTCAAAATTCCAAGTTGAAAGTCGAAATTTCGAGATTTAAGTAAAAATTCCGAATTAAAATTTGAAATTTCAAGATTAAAGTCAAAATTTCGAGTTTAAAGTAGAAATTTCGAGATTACAGCCGAAATTTCTAGATTAAAGTCAAAATAATCGCGAGTTAAAAGTCGAAATTTCGAGATTAAAGGCCAAAATGTATCATATTTATTTATTTGAACAAAATTGGTGAAATATAATTTTATCAGATAGCAACAATACAATGCACTTACTTTGTTTGGTCGCGCAATATGGCTTCTCCTATGTATAACTCCCAGCATACCCCTTGGTTTTTGGTAGACAAATGACTAATTGATTAATATATAAATAATTGTAATAAAAACAAATAAAAACACTTTTATTATAACAATCTAGTTTAATTAATAAAAAAATCATATGTACAATAGAACCTCATTATTTAAAACGCATTATTTCTTTCCGAAAGTATTCTGAACAAAAGCCGGCGGCAATTTCTCAATAATACTAATAGGATTCACCTCTACAGCCACCATCTCGTCAACGTCCAACCAATCCAAATGCACCAGATGCTTGTACTTCTTAATAGACGACATTCCTAATTCCTCGCCATCTTTACCCGATCCCAATTTAACCAATTTACTTTTAGGAGATTTCTTTCCCGATAATTTTTTATCTTTGTTAATCACTATTATGTTACTGTCGTCTTGTAAGATGATGACATCTTCGGATCGTGGATCAAAAGTGACGTTCCTGATAGGATACGCTCTAGATTTCCAATTGCTGTTTTCTAGATTACGAGAAAACTGAGTAAAATGCTTTTTGGAAACGTCGTATTCAACTATTTTAGAGTCTGAATACACCACAACTAGATTCGAAGTTAAAGGATGGATGTTCATACTGGTTGGTGGGTTTTTGTACTTGGGAAGTTTGCAATGATTGAACCATTCGTTTTTCTTTTGATTCCAAACGAATACCAAGATATTACTAGTAGTATCTGCGACTATCAAGTATTTACCACAAGAGCTGACTAGTAGAAAAGTAACACAATCGATTAGATCAGAAACATCGATAACTTGCTGAATAGAAGCCCGACCATCTAGCAACTTATAAAAATACAAACTCCCCGCGTTAGAATAAGTTACAAGCTGTAAATTATCCGGCGTGAAAACAGCTCTAAGACAAGGGATTTCCCTGTGCTCCAAATCATCAACTTTAACCAAATTAGGAGTATCATCATCGTGGATGAACTGGAATAAATTAACGCCTAGCACGGTGCTGTAAATGATCCATTTCCCGTCAGCTGATATGGAAGCGCAAATGATCCCTTCACTGTCTTCTTCTCCATCGTAATCTTTGGATACGCGTTTAAGCTCCAAGAGCTTCTTTGGTTCTTCTTTTGTCGGTAAGAACCCTCTGAAGTTACAATCGACGGTACTGGTTTTGCTGAGGGACCAAAGTTCGACGTGTTTGGAGTACCTATAAGAGATAAACGCGTTTTAAACTGCCGTGGTGACTATTTGGAAAGATAAGGTGCAAAAGAATGTTAAGATATCTTAAATTAATGAAGGCAAGCAGTTATACTAAGTTACTTCTGGATTACTACTTCCAAAAGTCACCGGTGTCAGTGTTGGAAATTGGCAAACTTGGAAAAGTGATTTGCGACTTGGCTAAGAATTCCATTATGGCGGTCATCGTTTACGTACGTTGACGAGAAAAATCATGCACAGTGGCAATGTCAAAAGGGCCTAAGTCTATATCTTGGTTGCTGTTGGTAGGATTCAAACAGGAAAAACGGTAATGTGTAGGAGACGCAACATAAATTAACATTAAAAAGAAAAATCTCGGCTATTATTGGTCCGATTCAAACTAGAAAAACAGCGTTGTGAAAGAGACGTATCATATATTAACGCCGAAGAGAAAAATAATGTGCAGTGGTAATACCAAAAGGACCTTAGTCTATATTTCCGCTATTATTGGACAGAATAAAACAGGACAAACGGAGAAGTATAAGAAATTACATGTTAATTAACACTGAAGAGAAAAATCACGTGCAATTTCGAAACCAAAAGGACCTAAGTCTATATCTCCACTATTATTGAATAGAATCAAAACACAACAAACGGCGCTATGCAAGAGACGTGACGTAGATTAATATAAAAGAGAAAAATTCATGCGCAGTAGCAAAGCCAAAAGGACCTAAGTATATATCTCTGCTATTATTGGATAGAATCAAACGGGAAATACGGTGTTGTGAATGAGATGTGACGTAGATTAACTTTGAAGAGAAAAATCCTGAGCAGTAGCAATGACAAAAGGACCTAGGTGTACATCTCCACTGTTGGTACGATTTACATAGAACAAACGGCACTATGATGGAGACTAAGCTATTCTTGGTGCAGTTCAAACGAAATAAAACAGCATTTTAAAAGAGACGTGGAAGAAATGAATGAAGGAAGGAAAGAAAGAAAGAAAGAAAGAAAGAAGGAAGGAGGAAGGAAGGAAGGAAGGAAGGAAGGAAGGAAGGAAGGAAGGAAGGAAGGAAGGAAGGAAGGAAGGAAGGAAGGAAGGAAGGAAGGAAGGAAGGAAGGAAGGAAGGAAGGAAGGAAGGAAGGAAGGAAGGAAGGAAGGAAGGAAGGAAGGAAGGAAGGAAGGAAGGAAGGAAGGAAGGAAGGAAGGAAGTTTTGAATACTAAAAAACTAAAAAATTTGGAATAAAACGTTCATAAGCGAGTTTTATCGGCTTATCTCACACTGAATCATCGATCCCAGGTCCATAAAGGATGTTGCTATCATTCATGATGTCTAAAGCATCTTTTTGCTCATGTCTACGACGAATCCTCTTTCATGAGCGCTTGATCCACTTCTGATTCCCATGTCTTGCATGTAGGTTATTAAAGCAAAAGAACATGCCAGGCCAATGCTACACTAAATTATATACAGTACAGGTTTAAACACTTTGTACTTGTGTTAAAATATCTATAAAGAAAGGTAGGAGGTAAGGTTAGGGATTATATAGAAAGCGAAACAGCTGCGAGACGAATTTTCGGTGGGGGGCATTGCCTTTAATTTTTTTTAATAAAAGGCTCATAAATCGTAAGAATTTTCATCTAGGGGGCGGGCATGGCCCCCATAGCACCCCTGGAGCCACCCTTGTTGCCAGATAACAATAGCGCGCTCGAACCGTAGGCAGGTATTTTCTGAGTCATGCATGAAACGCGAGTACTCAAACCGCTGTATCTTCGTTAATTTTGCTCCGATTCATTTCAAATATTCACACAATATTCTTAAAAGGTTCTCCATTCACAAAATCAAATATAAAAAATGCAAAACAAAGTTTAAAAACTTTACTCCCCCCAAGCTTCGAATAAATATTAGATCTAATAGATAAACAACCTTAACCATGAAACATAGATAAACATATTTAAACATAATTAATACAAGAAAGATAAAAGAAAAAATAAATAATATCGCAGGGTACATTTCAACCATGAAGTGTTATCTTCTGAATTAATAGTACGTCTATTTACCACTGGTGATAAAAATTACTGCTAGTCAACGACATGGCCCTTCGGGCCCCATTTGAACCAGCGACCTACGGTTAATTCAACTCAACAATTACATTTAATTTATTCAGATCAATTTAAATTGTTTTATGTAATCAATCACTTTTATTAACAATCATTAGCAATAGGCGTGCTATGATTTTTAATTTAAGTTTATTTTTTAAATATTTTAACAACGGTTTATTTTATTTTCATTAGCTCTCGTTTAAAACAATTATGGAACTGTTTTATTCAAACTTACTAACGTTCTAATGTACACATACATTTTAATAACAAACAATATATCAATATCACAGTAGATATACTAAGTTACCATCGCCTCACATAGGGAATTCAATGTATAAGAGTGAGATGTACATATTCAATGGGTAAGAGTGAGGGGGAGTGGGGGGAATTAAATTTCTTTTAAAGTCGAACAAAAAAATCATGCGATTGCCAAAAGGACCTAAGCGTGTTTCTCGGCTACTATTGGTCCGATTCAAACGGGAAAAACGGAATTATGTAGAGAACGCGGTATAAATGAACGTTGAAGAGAAAAATCATGCGCAGTAGCAATGCCAAAAGGACCTAAGCGTGTTTCTCAGTTATTACTAGGTCCGATTCAAACGGAAAAAACGGAATTATGTAGAGAACGTAATATAGTTGAACGCTGAGAAGAAAAATCATGCGTAGAACGAAAGTCAGAAGGGCCTAAGCGTGTTTCTCGGTTATTACTAGTCCGATTCAAACGGGAAAAACGACATTATGTAAAAAACACGGTATAGATGAACGTTGAAGAGAAAAATCATGCGTAGAACGAAAGACAGAAGGGCCTAAGTGTGTTTCTCGCTTATTACTGGTCCGATTCAAACGGGAAAAACGGAATTATGTAAAACAAACACAATTTAACAAATTTTAAACAAAATGAGACATTTCACCAATTGCCATGCAATTTCACATATCAAACAATCACTATGATCTAAGGGCAAATTTTCTAAACAAAACTTTAAACAAAGTCTTAATAAATACAAACACAAATCACAACCATTTAGATCAAGCTAATCAAATGCAAATTTTAAATTAAAATAATCAAAATATTAAACTGCCAGATGCTAATGTACCAATTTTCATTGAAATCGTTTAGATTATCAAAGTTTTATAAATTTATTCAATGCACTAATAGTTTAACAGTCGGTTGTTAAAATCTCTCATAAGCTAAGGAACTCATAACTTTATTAACTCATTAGATTATCTTCTAAATCGTAAATTTGGCAACGGCGCTTTTTTAAATGACGGTATGAGGTAAAGTATGACAATATTCGAGATATGTCCCTATCAACAATTATCTCTGTTTTATTCATTTAAAATTAACACAGTGCAGGTGAACACAAACGATATGTTTTCAGAATGAGAGCAAAATTTGTCATAAGGAAAGTCGCTTCACGTTACAACACCTGCAAACTTTTAATACGAGAATTGTCTACAAAATATACTTATTTGAAAATACGCAAGAAATGGAATTTTAAGTAGATTTAACACTGTGAAAAATTAGATTTTACAATATAACTACCGTTTTGTGCTATAGAATAAATTAATTATTTACTTACCTCAGTAAAATGTATCTAGCATTTGAAGCCACCTGCACGCAAGGATTCTGAAGCAATGGCGGTACCTTCAGCAGTGTCTTTGGTGGATAATAACTACAAGCCAAATAACTATCATCTCCACCGGAATACAACTTGTTATCCACCAAAACCAAAGCGTTAACATCGTGCTCATGTATTTTTCTTTGCACACTCCTCACCCATTTATTCAAACCATCTTTAACAGTGATTTTTTCGTAATTTATAATGTTTGGATCCACACCAGCGCAGTATAAGGAAGTCTGATTGTCTGATAAACATAACGACAGTATATCTGCTTTGTGTGATTGATAACTTTCAATTTGAGCCCCAATTTTGCCGTCCCAGAAAGTCAATTTGCCTCTAGAGTCACCAGAAATTATTGTAAAATCTTCGGTTACATTTATACACCAAACTATTGTTGGTTTGTTAGCTTCTGATCTACCGGTTGTCATTTTATGGATCGCGTGTCCAGATTGGACATTCCAGATTCTAATCACATCTATACTGCCTGAAACTACGAATTCGCCTGTCGAATCGAACTTCAAACTGATGATTCTGCCTTCTTGTTTGTCGAAGAATTTTTTGAAATATATACCGTCTTCTTCCACTGTGAAAAGGTTTAAGTAACCTTGTTCGGTACCTAAATGGGGGAAAATAGTATACATACAGTACGATGCAAAAGAAAGGGATGAATTATTTACATACATTTAAAAATTAAAAATATTTATTTCATTTGCACCATACATTGTTGGACATACATCCAACATGTTCTGAAAACTGGAACCTGGCCCTGCCCTTGAATTAACTCAAACAAGATCAAATATGAAAGTGTTACAAACAGTTTTTAGTATGTAAAATTAATTAATATAATGTTGTCTTATTTATTATTAATTGTGTATTTTCAGATAAGCAAGTTTAGCTACAGGATGTAATATGGACAAGAAACAAGGATAATTGCTCATCTGAATTCATATATAACTAATAATAATTGTAAAAAAAAATTAAATCAAAATTCATGATATTTAAAGTATATAAATTGATGGAACTAATATAAATATTTGCAATAAAACAGTAGTTGTTTATTAATTACCCTTTTCCCACCAATACAGTGCCATTATAAATTCAAATAAAATCTTTATTGGTAATGAGGTAGGCAGTTATCAAAAAATACTCTATTTTCTGTATTTAAATAAAACAGCATCTTTAAACATTTATTAATATTAGGATTAGGTAATAATTTTATTCACCAAAAATATATTATAAAGGGATACAATTAACATTTTCTCAACAGTCCATGATTTCTTACTCTTAATTACTTACATTTATATTGAACTTTTGTAAGATTTCCGTACTGTATATGATAATTTGCATATTAAACAGATTAAAAAAAAATATAACAAGCCTTAGGTAACATTTAATAATTAAAACATATAACCAATATCCACTTCAGACATAACATCTTATTGATCATACGAATTAAGGATATTTTCGTGTTTATCCTTAAACTGGCTTTTTTGGACCAACAATAACTTAAAAAATAATAATAAATTTACATATTTAATTTGCTCCATCAAACATGTGGTTTGAATGCATTATTATATTTTTTTGGATGCCCTCTTTATAAATTTGGAAAAGAAGATAATAATTAAAAAAATTAATGACTTTTAAAATCATAATTTACTAACTAATCAGTAAATACGAGTATATTAGTCAATTGCACACCCTATTGATTTAAAATTATAGCACAAAAGCTCAAAATTAAAACTCTTTGTCAGTGTCAATACAAGAACTAATCTAGTTATACTACGCCAGAAGTTTTATGCAAATTTAATTCTCAATTAAAGGTAAAGTATGACTTTTTTAATATACTAAGTAAATAATCAAATGAATTAATATTTACCTATTGCAATTTTGGTATTGTCCTTATCGACATCTAAACAGAACGCTGCTTCGCCAGTAACAGCCCATCGATTTTCTAAACATAATTTTTTCAAATTATACTCCACTAACAGTCCATGAAGTCCTACACTCAGCAATCTGTTTCCACACCAAGCTAGACCTTCTATACTGAAATTTTCAGTCGTCGGTGCTATTGATCTTTCTATAAACCAAGTATTTTGTAAATTCCATATTTCTAAACTTGCATCTTGTCTAGATAGGGCTAGTTTTTTGGTAGAACTTTGAACGGTCATGCATCTTATTGCTTGTGGTTCTGGGTAATAAAATCTAACGTTGTGTATCTTACAATGAGCCATTTTACTTTTATTTCATCTAATTACGTGAAATAGTATTAATTTTAAGTTAAATATTAAAAATATAAACACTTTACATGTTTATTTTAAATTTTAACCTCAAATTACCACGTTTTGATTGATGTCAATGTCAAATCTTCTTTTTCAGTGATTTGTGGCTTGTTTCTGTTGGGTTAAATATTAAAAATATTTACTCATATATTAGGAAAAATATTATGTTATAAGTCATATAATTGTGCATGAAATTAATTTATATTATAAACAAGGTAGTTTTCAATTTAGATCTGTATGAAATATATTAAAATTGAAATTATTTTATTATTATGTACAGAGCCATATAACCAACTAGACGCAGGCCAATTCGTTTTTAAGACAAGACGAATATTTACTTTCAAAATAGCTCTTGTTAATTTTAGGATTTGTTGTATTTAATAATTAATACAGATTTGCAGCGTTACAAGTGATTCTAATGAAATAATTCTAAAGTCTCAGTTATAAATATTAGTGAGTGGAACATTCGGTACTGAAATATGGAAAACTTCCAAGTAAAGAAGCCAAAAACTGAAGGTAAGATTAATCTAGACGCATTAAAGCACAAAAAGCGTTTACATATAAATGAATCTTTTATTATTGCAAATATTACATCACAAACTCAGTTCAGGCTATTAATAAAATAGTTTTTTTAATAAATATTTTGTTATGATGTCAATTTTATTTGACAAATGACAGTAATAGAATTAATAGGTTATGTTTATGTTTACGCCAGTTATTTTACATGTGGTGGATAGTTTTTCGAAAAATTAACAATGATACGCCGTCAAGCTCGACTCCGAAGGGAATATTTATACAGAAAAACGATAGAAGAACGACAGAAATCAATTCAGGACAAAAAAGATCGTATCAAAAAGAGCCTTGAACAACATACAGCCATTCATGGTGATTTACAGAAAAAAGCGCTTCATTACGCGAAAAAGGCAGAATGGGAAGACGCAGGGCCGGAACAAGCCGTCCTCCTTGGAGGAGAGAGTGGAGGTGCCTTAGCAAATTCTCAAGATGATGAATATAGATATGCAGGCGTCGAAGATCCAAAAATAGTGTTAACAACGTCAAGAGATCCCAGTTCTCGGTTAAAAATGTTCGTAAAAGAACTACGATTAATATTTCCCAATGCTCAAAGAATGAACCGTGGTAATTACGAAATGAAACAGTTAATACATGCCTGTAGAGCCAACGATGTAACAGATTTCATTATTGTACACGAACACAGAGGAATACCAGATGGTTTAGTGATTTGCCACTTACCTTACGGACCTACAGCGTACTTTAACATGTCTGATGTAGTCATGAGGCATGACATACCTGATATTGGAACAGTTTCTGAACAGTATCCTCATCTTATATTCCATAATTTTAAAACTCAGCTAGCTGAACGCACCATGAGTATTTTGAAGTATTTGTTTCCTGTGCCAAAGGAGGATTCCAAAAGGGTGATCACATTCGCCAATCATGATGATTATATCAGTTTCAGACATCATACTTATAAAAGTGTAGATAGGAAGGTTAGTACATATTCTGATGAGTTATATATTTTAGATAATACTTATTTAGTCCTACAATTTAATCAATTTCCATTAAAACTTTGCATTGTATATCCATTTCCACAGTTATCTTGATACCCATTTATATTAGAAATAGTAGTTTTTCTAAAAATCAAATTTATGTTTTCTTTCAGTAGTTAATCAATCTGATACCCATTTCAACAAACTTTTGTTTCATTTGACAAGGTAGAATTTCAGTTTTTGTAAAATAAAAATGTATTATAAACTCCATAATGCCAGGTATACAGGTTGATACCAATTTCAATGCCTTCATGATTTAGTTTGTAGTGCCTAAGCCTATCAAAAACTTCTGTTTTAATGAAACTTTCATTTAATGTATTTTCTAGAAGATCAAATTTCTTCTTGGTACTCTTTTCAATGTTTGATACATGCCTGATACCCATTTCAATGCTTTCCATTTCATAACAGCTAATACACATTTTTGATACCCATTTCAATACCAGCTATATTTTTAAAATAAAATTATTCTATAGTTTTTATGAAATATCAATTTTTGTTGCTTCAATAATATCAGGTTTTTCCTTGATACTTTTCAATATCTAGAATTCTTTTGATACCCTTTTCAACTACGAGTTTCCGTTGATACCCATTTCAACACTTAGAGCACTAATCAAAACAAAAATTGACCTAAAATATCAAATTTATGTTTATTTTCAATGCCTCATTTGTAAAAAAGAATTGCAGTTTTAGTGAAATACAAATTTATTATACCCTCCATAATGCCAGGTTTCCTCTTGATGCCCATTTAAGAACTTAAAATCAGTCTGATACCCATTTCAATGCATTCATGATCTAGTTTATGAATCAAATGAATAAAATGTTCATTTAAGGTATCTTCTAGCCCCACATTTCCTCTTAAATACTCTCTTCAATGTTTGATACCCATTTCGATGCCTTCCAGTTCTAGTTTATACAGAAAAATTGATGTTGAATCTCTTCATAATAACTAGTAGGTACGTTTTTGATACCCATTTCAATCCCAATTAAATTTTAATGAAATATGAATTTATTATGCCTGTCATATCTTTTTCTTTTTGATACCCATTTATATACCAGCTAAATTTTAAGGTAAAATTACTGTAAAATTTTTATAAAATATCAATTTTTTATGACTTCCACAATATCGAGGTTTTCCCTTTATAATTTTCAATGTTTAGAAATATTTTGATACCCTTTTCAACTTCTAGTTTCCATTTGATACCTATTTCAATGCATTATAGCACTAACTAATAAGAGCAAAATGGGTCTTTTTCTAAAATATAAAATCTGATACCCATTTCAATGACTTCCTCCTTCATTTGAAAAGTAAGAATTGCCATTTTTCTGAAATATAAATTTATTATGCATTCCATAATTCAAGATGTTCTCTTGATGCCCATATTAGTACTTAAATAAAAATTGTTAACATTTTTGATACCCATTTCAATACCAGCTAAATTTTAATGAAATGAATTTATTATGCCTGTCATACTTTCTTTTTGATACCCATTTTAATATCAGCCTAATTTTTACTGAAATAAATTATTTATGCATGTCAATTTATGGATATAAATATTTTTTCCCTTGATACCCACCAATGCTATGTACTCTAGTTCATAAATTAAAAGACATCTCTTGTTACCCTTTTCAATGCTTGATATATCTGATACCCATTTCAATGTCTTCCAGCTGTTGTTTATAAAGAAACATTCACTTCATAACAACTAATACATTTTTAATACCCGTCTCCATACCTGCTAATTTGTATTTAACAAAATTACTTTATAGTTTTTAAGAATTATCCTATTTTATGCCTTCAATATCAGATTTTTACTTGATATTCTTTTCAATGTCTAATATTTTTGATACCCTTTTCAACTTCTAGTTTGTTTTAAAAGCACAATAAAAAAAGATTTTTTTAAATTTATGAAGACTTTTGATACCCATTTCAATTTCCTCTTTTCCTCCAAAAGGAGTAATAGTAAGTTTTGTTAACAATATATTATTAAAACCCTCTATAATACCAGATTTCCTCTTGATACAAATTTGAGTATTTTAAATCAGTTGGTTAACAATTGCAATACCTCTTACCTCTATTTTAGAAAATTGATGTTGATTTACTTCATATCAATTCGTTTTTGATACCCATTTAAATTCCAACTAAATTTTGTTGTAACAAAATTACTTGATACTTTTTATGAAATTTCAGTTTATAATCCCTTACATCAGACTTTCCGTTGATACCCTATTCATTTGCCTTGTTCTAGATACCTTTTTCAATGTCGTGTTTGTTCTAGATACCCTTTTCAATGCCTTGTTTGTTCTAGATACCCTTTTCAATCCCTTGTTAGTTCTAGATACCCTTTTCAGTCCTCATTTATTCTAGATAAACTTTTCTATATCTTGTTTGTTCTAGATACCCTTTTTAATGCCTTATTTGTTCTAGATACCCCTTTCAGTGCCTCGATATTGTTCCAAATACCCTTTTTATTGTCTTGTTCGTTCTAGATACCCTTTGCAAAATACACTTTTTGCTTAATACACTCAACAACGACGTTGAGTCACTTCATAATAACTGATACTATTTTGATATCTTTTTCAACACGTTCTATTTTAATTTTAGATTGAAATAAGTGAAGTGGGACCTCGATTTCAATTGAGACTGTATGAAATAAAATTGGGAACTTTGGACAACGTTGATTCAGCAGATACTGAATGGGCTCTACGTCCTTATATGAATACAACAGCTAAAAGAAGATTTTTTAGTGATGAAGATGGTTGGAGACAGGATGATGATGATGTTTCATAAATTTGATGAATATTAAAATAATTTTTAATAAATATGTGTTCTATTTAATTTTTGTTGTTATTCCTTAATTAAATACAATGCGTAACTGATTATTTATATTTTATTTGGACGTAGAAAAAGTATAGTATTCGCTATTACTACTAATAAATAATAATACATGATTTTTATTGAGTAAAGGCATCGATTTTAGATCTCGAGGTAACTGGGGTGTCGAGAAGCGGAAGAGTTCGAAAAAAGTCATCGAAATTGGTGGACTTTGAGTCTCCGGACGAAATTGAAAGGTCATACAACAAGAGATCGCCTGCGGTGCACAGAAAACCCGAAGCTTTCGAAGGTTCTCCCAAAAAACCAAAATTCGACGAGGTAAACATTCAAATTAAGTCCAATCATTATGCACTTTTTATGAAATATCAATTTATTTTGCTTTCCATAATATATTTCTCCTTAATACATTCCCAGTGACTATTTTCCTCTTACCTTCCATTTGATACTCTTTTCAACGTCTAGTTTCCTTTTGATACCCTTTTCAACGTCTAGTTTCCTTTTGATACCCTTTTCAACGTCTGGTTTCCTTTTGATATCCTTTTTAACGTCTAGTTTCCTTTTGATGCCCTTTTCAACGTCTAGTTTCCTTTTGATACCCTTTTCAACGTCTAGTTTCCTTGTGATACCCTTTTCAACGTCTGGTTTCCTTTTGATATCCTTTTTAACGTCTAGTTTCCTTTTGATGCCCTTTTCAACGACTAGTTTCCTTTTGATACCCTTTTCAACGTCTAGTTTCCTTGTGATACCCTTTTCAACGTCTAGTTTCCTTTTGATACCCTTTTCAACGTCTAGTTTCCTTTTGATACCCTTTTCAACGTTTAGTTTCCTTTTGATACCCTTTTCAACGTCTAGTTCCCTTTTGATACCCTTTTCAATGCCAAGTTTTCTTTTGATACCCTTTTCAATGCCAAGTTTTCTTTTTATACCCTTTTTGATGTGTTTTTTAACTTTAATACCCTGTTCAATGCCTAAGTTTCCTTTTTTAATGCCTTGTTTAACCGTGATATCCTTTTCATTTGTCTAGTTTTCTTTTCATATCCTCTTCAATATCTTTATACCTTTTTCAATACTTTGTTTGACCTTGATACCCTTTTCGTTTTCGCTTGAGTCACTTTTATCATAAAAATCATAATACTCTTTTTTGTTGACAATGAAATTCTCCAAATTTATAATGATTGGACTATATTGCTTTGTTTAACTGCAATATGCGTATTTTTAGATGTATCCCAAAGAAGACAATTTCGACATGGACGAAAGCGGTTCAGAATACAACAGCGAATATGAACCGAACACAAATGCTACCGAATCGAGCATAGACGAGTCGGTTGAGTCCGACAGCGATTTTGAGGAAACCGAAGGTTTCAAAAGATTGGACCCGAACTCGTCTAAGAAAAAACTGGTCATCAAGGACGGGAAAATCGTCAAGTCTGACAAATTAAAAGGGAAAGATAAAGGTAGTATTCATTTTTTTTAACGTTCATAATTGATTTGTAATTGGAAGCAAAAATGGGTTATTTACTTTCTTACTAATGAAATTGGTCTAAAAAAATGCCTTAGAAACCGTAATAGCCTTTAATTTTTATTGGACGACCATGCGTTTTATATATTTCTACAATTTTCTTCATTTGAGGTCGATGACCTCATTTTGGACCCCCATTGCCCATCTACTTTCTAATCTTCGACTTCCAGTTTATTTATTTTTGTTTATGGTTTTCATTACATTTTATATTTAGAAAAATCAAGGGCATTCTTACAACATTCAAGGCTACACTCGAGAATACAAGAAAACTTTTAAAAAATCAAGACCGCTGTCAGAAAATTCAAGGTTACTCATTAAAAAATTGAAGGTGTCTTCTTAAATTTAAGGCGGCTCTTTAGAAAATTCAAGGTCACTATTAGAAAATTAAATATCGTTCTTAGATAATTTAGGACTGTTCATTAGAAATTCAAGGCTACAAGTAGGACATTTAAGGTTGCTCCTAAAAAAATCTAGGCTGCTCTTAGAAAATTCAAGGCTCTTTAGAACATTTAAGGTAAATTTAAAGTCCATCTTTACAAAATTCAGGGCCACTGTTAGAAAATTAAATATCAATTAGAAAATTCATAGCCGCTCCTTAGAAAGTTCAAAGGCACTATAAGAAAATTTAAGGCAGCTCTTAGAAAATGCAAGGCCAATTTTTAGAAAATAAAATTTTTCCGTTTCAGATAATTTCTCGAATTTCAACAAATCCCTATCGTCGAAAAGCAGTAGCAAACACGGTAGTAAAAAACCAGTAGCCAGCAAAACTCCCCCGGGTCCTTTGCAGCCCTTTCAACTGGGTATGTCGACTTACGAAAACATCAACGTATCGCCGCCCAGTCCCAGGGGAAAGGAATCTCCGTTCAAGGTCAACGGTATCAAACCAATCGACGTGGCAGCTCACCTGAAGCTGCTAGGCGAGAGTTTGACGATCATCGGCGAAAGGTTGAAAGAACATGAGGTAAGGATAAATATTTTAAATTCATGTCTTAAAAGTTCGATTGTACATTTTTAAAAATAACTAAAATTCGAGGCTACTCTATGAAATTCAAGGTAATTCTTAGAGAATTCAAGGCCGCTTTAGAATATTAAAGTCCCGTTTTAGAATATTCAAGGTCACTTGTAAAAAATTTCAAAGCTACCCAGACAACACACCAAGTCCCAGAGATATCCACAGAATATATTTTGTGGATATCCAGGATATCAGAAATATTCCGTGGAACTAATATGGATATCCAAATGTCCGTCTATATCCAGAATATAGAAGATATCCTATGGATATTCAGCAAAATATCTAATGAGTATCTCCAGACAATACAAGAAATCCCAGATATATCCATAGAATATATTTTGTGGATATCCAACCAAATGTCCGTCTATATCCCAGGATATAGAAATTCAGATAAATATTTTATAATTATTTTTAGTAGAGGTTCATAAGTAACCAATGGTTATTGAATAACGTCGAAAGAAAATAGAGGTAAAAAATTTTCCCAACAATCTGCCTTTGATTTTGCCTACTAAGGAGAAAATCATCCATCCTTATTAGGAATCTTCAGCAATAAATGGAACTACTCGACTTCAGTCTCTAATGAAGTCTGTTTGTGAAACAATGTCGATCAAACTCAATTACGGCGGGTTAAGCATGAGTAGATACGAAAGTGGTATCGCCATCTATACTTAGGAAGCAAAATCAAAAATTACATCTAGTAGATATCCACGATGGTTTGCGTCCGCGCTTAGACTTTGATATATTTATATTTATAGTGGATGTCCATGGGATATTGAATACACCTTAAAAAAAATTAATTTTAAATATCTCAACGGTACTATTAGCCACAATGGCGAGTACAATGGCGTAATTTTTTAATAATTTGCTATATAATTACAATTATTTATGGACATTTGCATGTCTATAAATTACATTTCATGGATATAAAATAGATATCCACCATGGACTGGACATTCAGTGGATATTGGGATGTTCAGTAGATATCCAAAGGATTTGGTGTGCTGTCTGGGTACTCTTTAAAATATTGAAAGACTTAAAAAAATTCAAGGTCACTCTTAGAAAATTCAAGACCGCTATTAATAAATTCAAGACAGCTCTTAATAAATTGGAGACTGCTCTTAATAAATTCAAAACAGCTCTTAATAAGTTCAAGACTGCTCGTAATAAATTTAAGACCGCTCTTAATACATTCAAGACTGCTCTTAGAAAAGGTTACACTATAGAAAATTTAAGGTTACTCTTAGAAAATTCAAGGTTGCTCTAGAAAATTCAAGACGGCTCTTAGTAAATTTAATACTGCTCTTTAGAAAAGATTACAATATAGAAAATTTAAGGTTACTCTTAGAAAATTCAAGGTTGTTCTAGAAAATTCAAGATAGATCTCAGTAAATTTAAGACCGCTCTTTAGAAAATTCCAGTTAACTCTAGAAAATTAATTACCGCTCTTTATAAATTCATGGTCCTTCTTTAGAAAATACAAGGCTACTATTAGAAAATTTAAAGAGGCTTTTAAAAAATTAAGGGCATTTTTATAAAATTTAAGGTCGCTGTAGAAACTTCATGGCGGCTTTTATAAAACTCAAGGCCGCTCTAAAACATTCAAGACTGTTCTTAATTATATTGTTAGGAACGTTCTTAAGAAAATAGAAAATTTAAAGCCACAATTAGAAAATTAAGGGTCTTTCTTAGACAATTCAAGGGCATTCTTGCATTGTTTATTATTCGAGTTCAAACTTTAATATAGTTTTTCTTTTTATATAAATTTATCTTGATAAGTATGTTCAAGGTCACACTTTATAAAATTCAAGGTCACGTTTTAAAATCTAATTTAAAGCCACCTTTTTTATGAACTTCAAGGTCATTCTTATAAAATTCAAGGCCATTCTTATAAAATTCAAGGCTATTATAAAATTTAAGGCTACTCTTATAAAATTCAAGGCTATTCTTAAAAATAAACAATTTTAGCTCAGATTCGCATATATGTTATTTTCAGGGCCAAATTGCTGTTTCGGGAAGTTTGTCGGTGCTTTTGGATTCTTTGTTGTGCGCGCTGGGCCCTTTACTTTGTTTAACGCAGCAAATACCGGAATTAAAGGATAATTGCTGTACACCAGAGGAGTTGATTAGCACTTTAGATAACGTAGCGTTTATAATGCCCGGTCTTTAAAATTCCAGTACCAAAAATTCGCTTTTAACACGTTAACCACCATGGATCCAAGATGGATCTTTTTGTAATAATAAATAATGTTAGATAATTGTAAGTTTTTCTAGTAATAATTTATTCATTTTTTGCTGTAAATAAACATTTTTGAAATTATGTGTATTTTTATTGTTATTTTGAATGTTTTTTGTTTTTTTATTGTTTTTTTATTGATTTTTTTAGTTTTTTAATGTTTTCTTTTTTTTTATTTTTTTTATTGTTTTTTGTTTTTTTATTGTTTTTTATTTTTATTGTTTTCTGTTATTTTTTATTTTTTTTGTTTTTTACTTTTTTTGTTTTTTTTTATTGTTTTTATATATATTTTTTTCTATTTTTTTCTGTTTTTTATTTTTTCAATGTTTTTTTTATTGCTTTTTATATTTTTTTATTGCTTTTTATATTTTTTTATTGTTTTTTCTATTGATATTTTAGTTTTTATTTTTTTAATTTTGTTTTTTTTATTGTTATTGTTCTTTTTTGTTATCAGAAACTAGTAAGTATATATTTTTTAAAGGTTAAAATAAGAAGAAAACTATTATATTTCTGCACGACAACATTGAATTTATATAACTTCTAAATTTTTCTTAGTAAGAACCTAAAGGCATTATCTCCAAGTCAATAATCCCTAGATAACCCTAACCTCCAAACATTTTACTGACATCATTCAAAATCAGGGATTATACACTATTAAAAGCTAACCTCTTATAAAATTCAAGATTACTCTTATAAAATTCAATGCGCTCTTAGAAAATTCAAGGTCCCTCTTAGAAAATTCACTCAACACTGTCAACCTAGATTTGCATATTGGATAGGTGTGGAAAAGCGTAGTAATTTTCAAAACTCATCAAAACCCTTTAAGGTCACACTTAAAAAAATCAATGCAGCTACTATAAAATTTAAGCCTATTTGAAAAATTCAAGGTTATTTAGAAAATTCAAGGCTATTTTCTAAAAAACTCAAGACTGCCCTTTCAGCTCAGATTTGAATATTGAATGAGTGTAAAAAAGCCTTGTAAATTTTAAAAATCAAAATCATACAAGTTCATACTTAAAAAAATGCAAGACAGCTCTTATAAAATTCATTTACATTCTTGTGCAGAGCTGCTCATATTGAATTTAAGGTTAAGCTCTATGAAAATTCAGGGCCTGTCTTATACAATTGAAGACCGCTTTTATAAAATTCAAGGCCACTCTCAGGAAATTTAAGCTTGAGGATTATGGGTGAAAAGTTGAAAGAACAGGAGGCAAGGTCGGAGATTTTTAATTCATTTCTGAAAAAAAGTTTGACTCCATTGTACAGTTTTGAAGCGTAGAAAAGCAAGGTCATTTTTAAAAATTAAATCCATTCAATACCCTTATAAAACTCAAGGCTGCTCTTATAAAATTTCAGGTTACTTTCAATGAACTGGAGTGGGGTAGAATGCTTGTCAATAGGCTTGAGATGCGACTCTATGGGCGAAGACAGGTTATTTTTCATCTCACTCGGGAGTATTTATAACGACCATTTTCTATTTCACTTTGTTATTGTCTGATCCACCAGCCTGTGGATTGAACAATAACAATGTGAAACAGAAAATGGTTATTATAAATACTCCCGAGTAAGATGAGAAATAAAAATGGCTGCGCCCATCGAGTCGCATCTTGTTCAATTGATACAATATGCACATTAGCTTTCTACCCCACTCCAGTTCATTGGTTACTCTAGGTAAAATTTAAGATCACTCTTATGATAGAACCTCTATAAAATGCCTAACTAATATTTAATATTTTAAGTTGGTACTGTACAATGATATATGACAGTTGACATTTTTATTATTCATTATTCTGTGTGAAGTCCAAAGTCCACTGTGTTGCTAATTCAATAAAACTAATTCTAAAGTAAATCCTGATTTATTTAAATAATCCTGAGTGGATATTTAATTTGTGTGACTGTATTATCAATCCTTGGCCAAGTTTATTACATTTAGAACATTTAAGGCTACTGTAGAACGTTCAAGGCCGCTCTTATAAAATTTAAGGCTACGTTTTAGAAAATTCATGGTATCTTTTAGAAAATTAACTCCACTTTAAGGATACTCTGTAAAATTCAAGATTACTCTTAGAAAATTCAATAATCACAGCACAGATTTGGATAATGTATAGATGTAGAAAAGCTGAATAATTTTTAAAACTTGTCAAAACCATTCAAGGTCACGCATAAAAATTTAAGGCAACTGCTATAAAATTAAAGGCTATTCTTAAGAAAATTCAAGGCTCTTCTCTAGAAAACTCAAGACTGCTCTTATAAAATTAAAGACCACCCTTCAGAAAATCCAAGGTCACTCTTATAAAATTCAAGATCATTCTTAGAAAATTTAATAATCACAGCCCAGATTTGGATATTGTATAGGTGTAGAAAACTGAGCAATTTTTAAAACTCATCAAAACCATTCAAGGTCACACAATTTTTTTTTTGGACAACTGCTACAAAATTAAAGGCTATTTTTCAGAAAATTCAAGGCTTTTCTCTAGAAAACTCAAGGGTGCTCTTAAAAATTAAAGACCACCCTTCAGAAAATCCAAGATCACTTTTATAAAATTCAAGACCACTATTATAAAATTTCAGGTTACTTTTAGAAAATTCAAGGTCAATCCTAGAAAATTCAAGGTCAATGTATAAATATTTTCATATTGGATTTATATAACTTCTAGATTTTTTTTAGTAAAATATAAAGACATCTCCAAGTTAATTACTCCTAGATAACCCTAACCCACAAAAATTTTACTGACGTCATTCGAAATTAGAAATTATACCACAGTTTATAGTATATATTCTTGAATCTCAGGAATTAGAAATGTTCAGGAAAGAATGAGTCAAAAATATAAATTTTGTGCGTTGCAGATAAAGAGGTGAAACCGGTTTTCTACCGTTTTGACGTAATAAACCTTTGATTTCTTTTCTTACTTTAGTTCCATGTCAGCCATGTTTTTTGCCGTCATTCCAAATCAGATTATATACCTACTATTAGGATCTAAATTCTGTTAACTTGGATTTCTTTTTAACTTCATTTCCATCTCAACAATGTTTTTTTAATAATAAAATTCTCTTGATGACGTCATTTAAAATCAGATTATAATTAAAAGAGCTAACCTTTATGACTTAACAAACCTTGGATCTGTTTTTTAATTTATTTCCATGTCAACAATGTTTTTCAATAATTGTCTAATTTCTTTCGATCAGATTCACTAAAATTAAAGTTCAATTTTTCTTTTCTAAAGAAAAATTTATCAAAATTTACAATGCCTTACGACTGCAGCGCTAAAAACCGCATTGTTTGTTGCAAGAAACCATATTGTTACGGAATATACAAATATCCGAGCGTTTTTTACAAGACGTGTCATCCCCCCGCAGCCCCAATTCCACGAGTAAGATCATTAATAAATTCTAATTTGATTTTAAATGAAATTAAGGAATTTTACTTTTAATTTTGTTTAGTTATGCAATACAGAATACACAGTCTAAAATACTGGTTGCCTAACTACACTGGCGATCAAAAAATTGAGGTCACCTTAAAATTTTCATGTTCTTTGAAATTTTACGTTTTCAGATCGTATTCGCAAACTGTACATCATTGCATGTGCTTTTGTAAGCTGAATGTGATACTCTATACTAAACAGAAATGCATTTTTTTTCTTGGATTTCATGATTTTTTATGAAAAAGCAACAAATTAACATTTTGGCCGAAATTCAACATTTTGTTGTTAGGGAAAATATGGAACGAACAAAATGAAAAAACTTGACACTAATAACGTGTATTCCCTCCTCTTGCATTGATGACTGCTTGAAGTCGGTGCGACATACTTTGAATTAAGTTGTTATCCCATTCCTGCAACATAAATCTTCTCAGCTCCTGGGCAGTTCTTGGTGCTGGTGTGTGTCTGCGGATCCGTCGTCCCAACTTGTCCCAGACATGTTCTATGGGATTCATGTCTGGGCTGCGGGCTGGCCAGTCAAAGCGCCTAATTTTTACCTTATCTAGATACTCCCTGACAATTCTGGCTGTATGTGGTCTCGCATTATCTTGCATAAAAATGCCACGTTCCCCCATAGTCACCATGAAAGGTATAACATGGTCTTCTAGCACCTCCGTGATGTACCTGTGAGAGGTTAGGGAGCCATTTTCTATGAAGACCACTGTACGAGCTTGTGCAGTGATTCCCGCCCAAATCATAACTGACCCACCGCCAAATGGAAGACGCTGGTCAATGCAAACTTCAACATATCTTTCCCCAGCTCCACACTCGTCGACGTCCACCTGACCCAGTGAGACAAAAACGCGACTCATCTGAGAACAATACCCAGCTCCAGTCATCATCATTCCAACGAACGTGATCTCTGTTAAATTTAAGGCCGGGACTTTCAAGTACCGTCAGGGTAAAAAAAGTCATAATGTAAATTGTAAAAAAAATATCTATTGAACAATCTCATGATATATGTTAAAACAATTTTTTTTTTCGTTAACGCACAAATATACCTTACAATTTAAACACTGCGAATGTGGTCTGGTTTCTACTGCAATTGACGAACATTGCACGCATCGTCCTCTTTTGGAGGTGAAAACTAGCCAGTGGGCTCCTTGATTTCCCAATCTAACATCGTTTGACACGCTGTAGTTGTATTTTCTACGTTTTGGTACAGTGGTTGTTGAAGTTCCAGAAGGCGTATATCGAGGGCTATTTCAAGGGCTATTGGTATTGCGGTTGCTTGAAGATTTCTTTTGTATTGCAGAGTAGTTGATGTAGTTCATTAACCTTTGAGGAACCCCTCTTCTAAATTTCAGCAGCGTGATTTTGTCCTCTGGGTGAACTTTTTATAAAGCACATAGCTATTCACGAATGCTATATCAAGTATTCCAAAAAATAAACGGTGCCACCATTTCTTTGAGCGTCTATCTATACAGTGAGCCTGTCGAAGTCGATCCGCGAGATCTACGCCCCCCCCCCCCCATATGGACATTATAATAATTGACTATCTTGACTTCTTTTGCGGTACCGTCTTTTTGAAGGCGTTTAACTTTACTCATTTCTGTACCGTGGAAGTTAGAGAGAAAATGCACCATTCGATTGTCACAGCACTT